TGCGATTTCTTCAGTCATTTTAATTCTTTCAAAGCAACCAACCAATTTTACCGGTAGCGTGCCGAGTTAGAGGGGAGTTAGGCAAGGGCGGATTTAGGCGGGGGGGGGGGGGGGGGGGGGTTTGAAGCTTTTCTCTCTCAGGAGTTCGACACCCTGTTGACCCAAAGGGTCCCCCTTTGAACTATTTTGAGATATCCATTTTTGGTGATGGACCCTAAAAATTGTTGGCCGAAACAGAGTCTTTTTAGTGCTTTGAAAGAGCACGTAAAATCAATGTCGTCAACCTAAAAAAGGCGACCGCTTCCCCTCTCACTTGCTTTTGCCAAATTTTTCCACCAGGGGCCCAACTTTAAAGTAGTTTTAGGATATCCATTTTTGGCAGACCAACGTCAAAAAATTGCTCAAAACGTCAATTTTAGCCTGTTTCTTTTCCCAAAAAATTTCCTGCAGTGCAGTAAATTTTTGACAAAATAGGGTCCTTATAGTAATTTCGGAGAGCTTGGAAAATCAAAATTGTCGACCTAGAAAGGGTCAAGAAATTATTCATTTTTTTTCGAAAACCCCCCAGAAATTTTTTTGCGCACGCCACTGTATATGACCCTGAAAATAGAAAATTAAATCACAGTTAAATCAAATTAATCTAAAATTCTTAAATTTCCATCAAATGATTGTAAAAAGATCTTTTTTGATGAGCTTTTCAGTGCTTTTAAACTATAGCTCAAGTCAAAACTGAGGGGGCTTCTAAATGATATAAATTATAATGTTTTAAATAATGAATAAAATCAAGTTTTTTGTTCTATATCACCATTTTTTAACTATTGAACGTACTTTATTCGATCGTTTTACTCGCTTGACTGAAACTCAAAAAATTTAAACCGGTTTTTCTTGACACTGGGACAAATTTTTGGAAACTTTTTTTGTCGTTCGAGCATAACTGAAAAAAGGTTGACATGATAAACCACTCGACACATTCTGATTATTATTATTAGTTTTGCTTGATTTTGCGTGGAAAAAAAAGAAAATTTAAAACACTGCAAAACAAAGTTTCTCTTAAGTTTAAATGATCGGAATAGTAGTTTTGTCTGGATTGAAAACTTTATTCTCATTTGACATGTATACTGCCTATAGTTCACAAGAAAAAGATGTTTCATCTGAATTGGTTTTTGTAACATTTTGGCGGTCTTAAGTTCGCCAATTTGTGTCAACTAATATCTACAAACTTTAGCAGGACAGTATACGTATAAATTATCAAAAGATCAAAACATAAATGCGTAAGAACGCAGATCATTTTAGGGTATTTTTGATAGTTGATTCGAGCAATTGTGTTTTTGATCAAAACTTAACTAAACTTTTTCGAAAAACCATATGTGAAAATGAACGTTTTGCTCTAACAAAAAGGTCATTGTATGGCCTACGCCATATAGCATTAGTGTTTGAACTTATTGGAGACCAATCAACGGGCCGTCAGAATATGCAGGGCTTCGCCCTGATATGTGAGCAGTCCTGTTTCATTTTGAGCCGCATCGAATTTAAAAAGTCTTAATAGGAAATTTTATTTTGGGTGACAGTAAGCTGGGAGTAGAAAAACTCATTCGCTCTAATTTCAAAACTAGAAGCTTGAAATCGACTAATTTTTGAAAAACGGTTTAATTTTGTTTGTTGCCTTTTTTGTATTTTGTTCCGACTTTCGAAGAAAATGCAGAATGTTTGTCATCTGATGTTTTTTCTCGAGGCCAATTTCAACTTTATAATTAGCCATTTTTGACGAATTTTTTAAGACCAGCCGAAAGATTCGTTCCCCCGAGCTGAATTTTAAAAATATATATACTTCATCTGCAATTATTTTTTGTTAAATTATGGTGGGTGCTCAAAATTGCCAGTTTGGCTGACTTGGGACAATTACTGCACGAGATATTTTGTGCTATTAACACGTAAGCGGCTATTTGATTACCTCATAAGTCGTTGCAAAATAAACTGAAGATAATTTCCGTCAAATAAAAATACGCAAGGAGAATATAAAAAAAAAAAACATTTTTACCTGGCTTAGCGTGTGGGGAAAAGTTTTTAAAATCCAAAAAAAAAATTAAAATCGTAGCATTTTTTCGATTTAATCAAAATTTTTTTAGAGTTCTGTGGTTTTTTGTTTTGTGTATTGCCTCAATTCTCTGCCCAGTACCGTAGTAACTTAAATGAATCTAGCTTAAATTACACTATTATCTATTATAGAAAAATTTTCAGTGGTGTTGACTAGTTTATACTTTGATTGGGGTATATATCCTCGTTTTTTGTAAGTTGGTAAAACTAAAATCCCGACTCGTGGTCGTGGTTTTATGTTCAGATTTTCATCGTCCCAATCAAATCAGATTGTGATCAAAATTTCATGGTCAAAACGCGGTTCAAAGACCGACACAATAGTTTGAATATAGTCTCTAATTTAAGATTGAATTAAACCCTTCCGCCCCAACCCCCCTTTCAGAAAGACCAAGTCAGATTTTCCACCTGAGCGTTTAATTTGAATTAAATTTTCAAAGCGCTGGGTGTTAAATTCTCGATTCTGATAGGCTGAAAATTTCAAAGCAGAAACTAAGCTAGCATCCTCCCCGCTATGGTTTTCCGGTTGTCTCAAGTTTTTATTATAGCCATAAACCATAAAAACTTTACAAACTGTAAGTTGAGGAATCTGCCTCAAATAAGCATTCCCTGATTATTCAAATCAAGGGGGGCCAAGATCGTTCAAATAATCGCTTACAATTTATTTGTGGTGTTTTTTTTATAATCTCCTGTAAAAATTGCTCGCTCCGCGTAAATTTCTTGCTCTTTTTGCTGTTAATCTCACTTCTTCTTAACGTTAATCGAGCACGTGTGGAAAAAAGAGCCCGTAAAGTTATATTCAATCAACAGACGTTACACGTAAAGTAAATCAGGTTAATGGAATTATCAGGTAATGACAAAAAAAATTGCTAGAGCTCGTAATAAAGAATTAACTCGGGCTCAATAATATAACGATCTCACAGTTCAATTTAAGATGGGTTCTCCTAACACGGTTGTCTCTTAAGCAACCCACGAAATCAATCTCTAAAATTAATCGTTTTCTCAAGCTTTTTGAATAGGTTCCCGCTTCGATCCGTACCCAAAATAAAAGTCAGGCTACACATGCACTTAGTGTTAATCTCTCAAAACTTACGATCGGAACTATCAAATTGTCTTGGTTTTGATTAATTTTTCTCTCTCTAAAATCCCCCCAACAGTAAGGTAAGTCTATTTTTACACCGGTATAATTAAATACCTCCCTCCCATATAAGTCCCGACCTTCACTGCGGTACTTTCCACGTTCGTACTGTAAGCTAAAAGTTCCCTGAGGTACACCAGTTCTAAAGGCTAATGTCGCAGTGGCTATTCAGATCGCTTCAAGTAAATTTTACGCCCAACTGAACCTCAGCTAAAGTTCGCATTTAAATGGCAGCAATCCCAAGGTTTTTATTTGGTTTATACTACACATGTTTCTGCCCCCCACAGGTAGGAAACCCACGAATCCGCTTATGTCCCTACTCATGGAGGTTCAAAAATCTGACGTCTGATCTATTCCAGTTTCAATCGCCTAGCCAATACGAAGAGCCGTTCCCCCTCCTAAATTCCGATCAAGCCAATAAACAACCCCCCAGAAGCTAATTAAATACCCTGTTTCCCCATATTACTCTGATGAATTAGCTCCTATTCCTTCTGCACCTGTGCATCAATAATTCTGTGAATACTTCGGCACCACTAAGAATATCTACTCCTTGTCCGTTAGTCAAGCTATGGTTGACCCCAGTATTTACTAAGTCCCTTCTTGTTAATTCCAATATTCGATAATATTTTATAAAGGACAGGATATTCTATTAACTCTTTGCGATCCCGTATCTAAATTTTTTCTTGTTCCCCACCCATAAGTGAGTTCCGTTCTCGTCTCCCCCCCAGGATGATTTTGATGAATCAGCACTGTCGCTAGGTACTTTTTCGTGTTTTTCCGAGCCATTCTGGAGGTAACCGTTCCAAGGGTCAATTAAGGGTCACCTCGGGGTCACTAGAAGTCAAGCAAAAGTCAATGAGTTCAGAGCCAGGTGGGGGTCCCACCTGCCAAGTTCCATCCATACCCGATTAGTAATTCACGAGTTATCACTTTTCAAAGGCTAATTATCACCTTTTCCGGGGATTGGCTATTAACACCGGAAGGAGCCAACAGAGAGGGTTTGTTCGCCAGACGTCTTTTTCCGGGCTTGGGTCTACTACACATTAACGCCATAAAATCAATATGCCCCGCTCATTATTTTCCGCAAATTGCCTATTTCCGGTCCCAGGGATATTTTTCCCAGTGCTAATAATTTCCGGTCGGACCGTCGGATTCGGTCCAAACTCAAACGTCATGCTTGTCTCACCACTACCTACCAACCCTCCAAGATTCCGCTTTCTAGGGGGGTATTTGCACTGGCCATAAAACCAAAAGTAGGGGTCCGAAGGGTCTGGGGTTTCAAACTTAAGCTTCCCTCGTCTAGGGCTTCCATATAGTAAATTATGGGGTCATTCCTATTGTTAGGTATCGAGTCCCAATGGGGCATTTTGCACTTCTGGGAACCGTTATCACTCGGCCCCAGGGGGTCCCCCGCGGCCAGGGTTTTGCATGCCCGGGTCAAATCATCTCTAAGGGTCAAATCATCATCTCACAATGATCCGACTAGTGGTTCCTAATCCGGGGGGTGGGGGGAGGAGGGTTAGCACATTCTATCCCCCCTCCAGTTTCCTCCAAAGACGGGACTAATTCCTCAGAGCTTGGGCTATTTTGAGCTTAGTGCTTTGTTTACCTTTCTATTTGCCGAGTTGGCTAATCAATCTCACTAGCATACTCCCAACGTTAGTCTTTTTGTGTTAGATACAACTTAATATTCGCATTCGACATGGACTACGATAGATTAAGTGAGGTGTGAGCGAACATGTTTTTTTTTTCAATTCGAACAAACACTTACCCTCAATTCTAGAATAGTCGAACTGGCGTCTGTCCCTGTCGCCCCAGTAGATGTCCACCTTCAGTCCCGTGCCCACTATGCTACTCACACTGCAGTTGCTTTTCACCCCGTACTTGTAGTACTCCCCACACCCCACCACCACGCCCTCCTTCGCCACACCCTCCCCAACTGACACTTTGGTCGCGTCCAGAGGCGGCTGGAAAATCAATTTTATCTTTAGCCAATGACGGATGTTCAACAAACTGCCATATCTACAAACCCTCATATTGGCTTTATTGACAAACCACAATAGTCAGTCAAAAGAGGTTTTGGGCTTTTTTTCTGATAAACTACCCAAACTTGATACCTTGATTTTTGAAAATTGGATCATAATGCTCAAATCTGATTGGCTGAAATTGATCATCACCATAGCAAAAGTTTTATTGCGAGTAAAACTTTAAGTTTGGGCCGTACAATAAAAAGTTCCAGATGTTGAAACACAGAGGTGATGCGGAGTCTCAAATAACTTGCAATCAGTCGCGGATTTAGGGGAGAGGGACGCCCCAACCTCAGGGATTCGACCCCCAGGGCGGATCTAGGATTTTCTCGAGGGGGAGAAAATCCTAGACCCCGCCCTTGTTGTCCAAGATATTTTTCAAAACATGTCAAAAATTTTGTCAAACTTTTTTTAGGCCGACCAAATTGATTTTCTGAGCTCTCCCAAATCAATTTAAAGACCCCATTTTGACCAAATTTTCTGCGCCGCTGTGAAAAATTGCTTAATACTTTTGTAATTCATTTTTCGGAGACAACTGTTCATCACACCAAGCACAAAAAACTACACTAAATTGATGAAATGTGATCGGAAAATTCTGTGCTAATTAAGCAGCAACCGGCTATATTTGTTCTGATTTGTTGTTATTTCACTGAAATACAAAAAATTGTCGTTGAAACATCAAAAAAAGAGATACACTTTTCCAGAACAAAGAAAGGTAGGATAGAAAAAGTGATGAAGTTATGAAATACGAACGAATCTTCCGTCCAGTTTCCCAGTGAGGATGTACGATCCAGGCACAGTATATGTCCACGTCATCCAAGAGTTGCTATTTGGATAAGTGAACCCAGCTCCAGTTCCGAAGTCAAACTGGTAGTACATCTACAATTCATAAAAATCACAAATAGTGTCTATGTTTTCCAATTTTTTTCAGAAAATATTTTCCAAAAAAGTTGTTAGAAGATTTGAGTGGAAATTTCCGGAGCGTGAAAATATCAATTGATACAAGCAGTAGCGGATTGCAAATGACAGTAGCGGACCCAATATCAGGCTGAGAGGGTTTGTCAACTTTCTTTTTACAGTGTCCCCCTTTTGGTCCTAGTTCACAACAACTATTGCTGGTTGAAAACTCTAAAATTTTCTAGATGCGCCTTAGGAAAAAAATGGGTGACATTTTTTCAAATTGTTTAAAATATCTCAAATTTTCTCTTTCATCACATAACTCCAGTAGTCGTCTGTTACCAGTTGTCTGAACGCGTGAAGGATCTATTTTTCAACAGAGAGGCGGAGACCTCTGCCATATCCCTAAAGTTCGTGACTGATGATTAATTTGTGAAATCGCGACTATCACTTACAAACGCCTTGCAGAAGTTGGGAGGTGGTGAGTAGTCTAGTCTTGCACTAGATGGCTCCATCGTCATCAGTTTTTTGTTAAGATCCACAAACCACACACTCGGAACTCCCTTCTGGGTGGTGAAAATACTCGAGCTAGAAAAGAATGAAGGCATATTGGAATAGAAAATGGGAGACCCGGGTTAAGGTTCTCGACTTAAGCGAATTGACTGCCAGATATGAGAGTAAATCAAGTTACATCAAAGTTGTGCACAGTCGATTTAGGTGCGATGTGGGAGCCAAACTATTCTAGTGTGTGTTGATGTGCTAGGTAAAAGAAGCGAAAGAGCATTAAAACGACAAGATATTTAGACGACAGGAGTTCTATCATTCTAGTCACTGTCATAAATCACGTTTCAGCTGGCAAAATTAGCTTGAGTTTATATTTTGGACTTTTTGGATAAAAACAGTCCAATTTGTGGAAAAATCAGATCCACGCCATGTGATTTAAAGTAAAAGCATTCAGCTCAAAACAGCTTTTTGAATAAAACGTTTGACCAAGAAATGCTTTTTATTCCGACTTTCGAAGAAAATGACATAATGTTTGTGCTCAGGGTCGTTGTATTTGCGCCAAACAAACTTCGACTCTTGAACTAGCCAAGTTTACCGGAGTTATGTTAAGTCATCTGAAAGATATTGATGTCCTGATATCAAAAGAGAAAAATTTATTTACCTGTAATATTTTTTCGAGAAGTTTTAAGGTTTTGAAAATAGCCAACTTGGGAGGATGTATTTCATTCGATAAGGCGTGAGTGGAGCAAAACTCGGCTCAGAATTGTTCTCAATCCAATTGAGGCATCACATTTGTCCGAATTGTTACGTGATCATAAAAAATTTCAATAACTTTGTACTTTATACGGCGTAGAGGGATGATTTTTGATTTAAAAAAATTTCCAAAAAACTTTTTTTTTATTAAAGTTCCATTACTTTATACGGAAGCAAAGCTGAGCTTTATAACACTTGCGATGCACCAAGTATGAATTAAAACAGCAAAACATTCAAGAAGTATCAAAGAGGACTTCGAACGATGTTACCGTTGAACAAGAACAAGAAAAAAATCAAGAATTTTAATAAGTTCCATATGCGGTCAATTTGCCTTTATGAAATTTTTGGTCCACAGTTTTATCGTTCGATCAGATATATCAGAAGTCTGTGTGAAACAAACTATTAGGTAAACAAGCCGACAGAAATAAAACCAACAGCCAATAAGCTGAAAACCAACGGAAACTTTACGGGAAAAAAACTGGAAAAATACATAGAATGTTGAAATTGCATCCAAAACAGTGCCACATACGTACTGAATGCAAGGTGGTACGTTCAACTCAGAAACTAAACCGAGAACCGAATCGACAACCATAAAGCCGAAAGACAATCAGTGAAAAAAATAAAACAGATGTTTTATAACTATACATATTAGTAGATCTATCAAAATTGATGAAGATATATATTTTGAACATGCGCAGAGAATAGATTGCAATGTTAGCATTGGAACAAAATTAACAAGCGGGAATAAAGCCGAAAATACCTGAGCAGCATTTCTTCACGACAAAAAAGTTCAAAAATTCCGAAACTAATAAAAAATTGATTCTCTTTTAATTCAAAACACACACGCGCAGACAATTTTTTTTTCATCTAACAACGCAATCAGAGTAATTGATATCAATACGCTAACTAAAAGCTATTAACAAAAAAAAACACTAAAAAAATTGAATTGATATATTACAAAAAAAAACATAAAAAAGCTAGTGTTGATTAGGCCGGATATTCAAATTGGAAACACGCTCAAAATATTTCTGTCAACGCTCGAAATATTTCTCAAAATATTTCTGTTAACGCTCAAAATATTTCTCAAAAAAACGCCCAGTAGATGAATGAGTCCCGAACTTAGGCGATGAGTCCTGTGAACAAAGCTATTTACAGAAAAAAGTTGTAGTACCCGATATACGGGAAAAAAAGTAGTACTCGATTGCAATACCCTTGCTTATCTCAAAAGAAAAAAAAATTTTTTCAACCATTACATAAAAAATATCAGGCAGTCGAAATTTTCGGGGCTTCTCCTTGATGCAATCAGTCTTGTTTCAATTTGAAATGTTGTCTAAGCTTACCAAATTATGATTTCTTAAAACTGAAGATGTACGTAATTGAAACAATTAAAAGTCTTCCGATGACTTAAAAAGTTTTTTTTTCTTTATAACAGCTGTCATCGTAGTTGAAAACTTTAGGTGACTAAAATCATTTTTACTAATTTATTTACTTACACTTTGCTAGATAGTGCGCAATTTGTCGATTATTTAATTATGTGGAATTGAATTTTCAGTCTCTTGTTAAATTTTGTGTTTAAGTTTCAAATTAAATTTTGTGTAATTGAGAGTCCAAACATAGCTATTATTCAGCTTATTATTTTTCGCAAAACTAATCATTAAATTATGATTTTTAAACTAGTTTTTGCAGCTTAACTAAAGCTTTTTCGACACTAGTTTTTAAAGCTTAATTAGTGCTTTTTTCGGCACTCAAGTGCAAAGTATAAGCATGAATCGTTTAAGTTCTTGTTATCAAGTTCTTTAAATTTACTTAAGACCTTGATACTCAACTACCTGTATACTCAACTACGCACTAAAAAACTTCTCAAATTTACTTAAGTTTTTGAAGCTTAACTAAAGCTTTTTCGACACTAGTTTTTAAAGCTTAATTAGTGCTTTTTTCGGCACTCAAGTGCAAAGTATAAGCATGAATCGTTTAAGTTCTTGTTATCAAGTTCTTTAAATTTACTTAAGACTCGTAATAAAGTACACAAAAGTTGTCAAAATGTATACTCAACTACGCACTAAAAAACTTCTCAAACTGAGAAGAAATTCAACACTGAGGCGAAACTGATCTTCGCACCACTTGCAATAAAATTTAATATACCAGTGCATGCAAGCAGACAGGAGATAAAATCATTAAATCCAGAAAAAGAAAAAACACTTTACGAAATTCAAAATGTTGTCTGAAATCATGTTCTTTTTGCGGAAAATCCGTCCAGAAATACAATCGACGGCCATTAATTAATTTCAAAAAATTAATAACAAGCAGCAGCTGAGCCGATGAAATTTAAACAATTTCCAGTAGAACCAAAAATATATACTTGTTGTCATGAAAAATTTTGAGCTATAATTTTTATTCTAAGAATTTTAACATTTTGTGCGATCCGGAATGACACATAAAACTTATGCTTCTTTTGAAATGACCTCAAGTTAGGTCCATTAAATCGATTAAATATTAGCTTTGTCATTTAAGCCGAATAAAGTGCTTAAAAAAAACAGCAAAATATACAAAATTAATGATAGCAAAATAAAAAAGTGAACGAATAATTCAAAACACTGAAAGTAACTAGCTCGAAAACTATGTACAAAAAAAATCAGTTTCACGAAGTGGCAGCTAAGTCGAAAAAACATAAGCAGACAAACTAATGGCCGACATTTTTTCGAAAGGAAAGTTTCCAGTTTAAGAAAACAAACAACAGTTCTTGGTCAGCTTCGAACCCACGACCTTTGCCGTCCCAAGCGTATTCTTCGCCTCCAGCCTGACTGCCAGACAGGCATAGAAGTTAAAATTCCTTATAAACCAAAATACAATTGATGCAGTTAATTCTGTTAAGCAAGTTTTTAATACAAAAGAGTATCTATAATCCGGTGTGATAACGCTTGATAATCGCAAGCGTAAAAAAAGTATATTGTAAAAATTAATGTCCAACTTTCTGGCAAGTTTTGTCATCTTCAAGTTTTTTTTGTTGTATCGAAAAATGAATAACAAATGCTGCCCAGCAAGCAGTTATTTCAAATGGAGCATTGCATATATCAGGCTAGCTACAAAAAAGGATAAATTTGTCTTGAGAGAAAAATACTTAGCCGAGCTCAACAATTCCATTAACTTCTTCGATTGTTGGAACAAAAAAGAACATTTTTTGTTCTGGTTGAACCACCTGTGTTTTTAGATTCGTAAGATTAGTTGAATACAATATGTTTAATTTTTTTCAAGCCTATTGAGTCGTGGACCTAAGATTTAGGCGGAGAAGCAGTTAATTTAGGTGGTTAAGCTGAACAAAAAAGACTAGACGACGAGATTATAATGAAACTAATTCCTCGTAGAGCCATTTATTTTTTGATCAAACACTAAACAACTTCTGAAGAACAAAGTTAGTTTTAAGAAACACATGAACTAGTTGTGAACAATATTTTCATGTAATTATCCGTTGATAATAGGGTGTTACAGTTTTTGAGGATTTTTTGGGGAACTAACTAGCTCTCAGTGACCACTCCATCACCGCCCTCCGCCTCGTGGAAGCCCCCGCACTTGTTGTCGTCTGGGTCCTCCTCGGTACAGTTGCTGTTGCACTTGTCATCTGTCGCCTGCAGACCAGTCAGAGCCGCTGCATCCAAAAACAAACTATTATCATGATAGAACGAAAAAAATATATATCTAAGAACCTGATTTAAATAGCTCCGCTCAAAAAGAACGACATGCTAATGAAAATAATGGCTTAAGTTGAAACTTACCTCATCAGGTGTTACTTTGGCACTTTGTTTTATAATCAAAATTCCAGTTTAAACCGATCCAACCAAGCGATACAACCAAAGCGTAGAATTCTCAAGCTACCAAACAGACAGTGAGATCAAAATAACTAAGTCGAATAGAAACGTTAAAAAATCAACATTTTTTTGGAAAAATAAAAAACTCAATTTCAGAAGAATAGACGAGAAACACAATCACTAGCTTCAGACAAGCTTTTCTAATTTCTGCGCGTTCACTAAGGGAACAGCCCGAGGTTAGACGTCCATTATTCCGAAAACAAAAAATGACAAAGCAATTTTCTGTCAGAAAAAAAATGTGAAAAATTAAGTTGTTTGAGTTTTTATTTTTAAACTTCAACAGACCTGATTTATTTGAATCATTATTAATGATTTTTTGCCGTTAACTCATGCAAAAAAAATTCACTAACACGACAAAACATAAACCTCAATCATTTAGGCCAAATAAAAGTTCCAATGGAAAAAAAAAGATATACCAGTCAGGGTTAGTAAATTCACAAAACTAGAGGAAGTAATCAGCAACACTTGAGAATACAATGAAAACTGCTTACACCGCTAGAAAAAAAACTGTGGTGTAGCAACTATATCAACAAAACAAAAATTGATTGAGTTTTTAACTTCTGTATTTCAACGGATCTGATTATTTGAATCAAGATTAATAATTTTTTTGGCGATAAACCGATGCAAAAGAATTTCATTAAACCAACAAAACATGTAAGCCAAAATCATTTAGGGCGTATAGAAACTCTAAGCAAAAAAAAACAGAAACAAAACGGAAAATATACCAGCCAGGTTAGTAAATTCACAAACTACAGAAGGTAATCAAATACACTTTTTGAGAACACAATGAAAACTGCGAACACAATGAAAACACAATGAAAGCGCGACCAAAAAATAATGCCGAAAAAAATGAGGCAATAAACTATTCCTTTTTTTTCACTGAAAAAAAATATAATTACAGACGCTAAAAAGACAAGGTCCGAATTATGGAAAACTTTTGAGGAAACTGTTTTGAACGTACAGATGTCGAAGGCACACATGCAAATGTCGCCCTCCTGCAGCACGGCGAAGTTCGTCTCCTGGTTCGAGCACGTCTCCCTGCACCCATACGTGTTCAGACTGAAGTCTCGGTAGTCCCCTGCAGCCCGTTTGATCACGCGGTCTGTCTTGTCCACCGGGAAACAGCCCATCGTCATTCCGAAGATAGGAGCTCTGGCACGGTTTTCTAAAAATTAGAAAAAATTATAAAATTAACGGAAAATTGTTTTCAAAATTTTTTTCCAAAACTTTTCAAAAAATTTTCGAACATTTTTTATAAATTGAGTTTTTGCTATTTTTAACTATTTTTGTTTCTACATACAAATATTTCTTCGCAATAACGCAAATAACGAATTCAAACGAATGCAAAACAAATTTTTGCTTTTGCTTTTCTGTTTTTGGGTATCAAAATCGCGACCAGTTTTTATAAACTGTACGAAACTAGTTAAATTTAGGGAGGACTTTTTAATTATTTTATTACGAAGGATTCTACAGTCATGATTTGCATTTTAAAGGAGTTAAGGAGTCTGAAACCTTTTTTTTGTGTTGAAAAAAACCTGATCTGATAAAAATTTTTCATTCATCTCAGATTTTGATTGTATCAGTTTTTCATTCATTTATTGAGCAGTTAATGTTTATGACGGTATTAATTTCCAGTCGTTAAAACTTCGATTGAAATTTTTCAATTTTTGTTTAAAAGTTTTCAGGTATGGCTGAGAGACTTAAAGATACCGGTGAGCATCGTAGCGTAAGTTCTGAAGCGCTCCGCTAAACTCCGAGTCCATGGTTTTTACAGAACTATTGGAACCACTGATTGTGTGTTAACAATTGTTGATGAGCACCCAATTGAGATGCAAGTGGCACAGAATGTTCCGACCGCAGAAACTATTGTAGAAAATATTCTTTTGAACAGCAAGTTTTTTTGAATTAATCCAACGTGTTTCCCACTTCCAAAATAATTTCCCCAAAGAACCAACAAGCCTCGCCAAAATAGACTAAGTTGAGACCAAGCGCCCTACTATTTAAGTGTACAATCGTATTCAATTGTAATTTGCTGAAAAATCCAAATAAGAACTAAATAGGTTAAATTTCTCCCCCTTGAAACGCTTTAGAAGGGAGGATGTTAACTTGGTCCAAAGTAACATTAAACTACAAACCCAAACATTGCTCTTTAGGGTTGCCGTACCACCCCTCCCCACATATACAGTTCTTGGGTCCTGGGTCATCTGGGGGTCCCACAGAGGCACAAGTCACGTGCGGGTATACCGAGGGGTGACAGTCATTGTCGGTGGAGCAGGTGTCAGTGACGTCATCACAAGTGGGAACTTGGGGACCTGAAGCAAAATTGTGTGAACTTCTTGTTGACAAATGACTCTGTTTGTCGACAAACTTTTGTTACTCGCTCAGAAGAATGGTGCTGTTACAAACCTCGTTTAGAAGTATGGTCCCAAAAAATGCCACGACGACAGGACCACTCTTCTAAAAGAGCTTTTTGAAAAGGGTTCACTAAAAATAGCGGGGCCATACTTCTAAACGCGCACCATTTATGTTATAAATTTTATCTAATATTTAGTCAAAATAGTATAAGATACAATAAAAATTATATAAAATGGTTTTTATCGAACTTGAATCAAATAAGTTTTAGTCAAGTTGAAATTTAATAAAACATACCTCCAGCCCAGCAAACGCTAGAAATCAGCAAAAACTCAAAGACCAAAAAGATCATTTGCAATGGCCGGCAATGAAATAACGCGAAACTTTTAGTTAGAAGAACGATTAATTAATTCAGTTTAATTCAAAATTATCAGCTATTTAATGTCAATGATTAGGTAAATGTTCATTTTAGAACTACTTTCGAAATTTAACATGACTTTTGGATAGGAGATTACAGAAAAAAATAACTGACCAAGATTTTCAAATATATCCGGAAATATGTTTCAGCTGGTCGCTTTAAGTATTTATTTGCTTGTTTGTATGATGATGGAGCACATTTTGGAAACATCACCTGTTGGGAAATAATTAGCCGGAAGTCTTATCATGCTACATAGGTTTAATCATAGTAATCAAAACAAAAAAAACGTATATTTAGACAAACTACTTCACTAATTCATCAAAGTTTTCGAATAGCCACAAGTCTCAGACGTGCACATGAATTTGCCGAGCGAGCGCTTTCTGGAAAAAAAAATTGCTGACTTTTTTAGGAAACCAAACTGATTTTCCGACTTTGTGGGCCCTAACGTTTGAAATATTGTTTCTCAAAAATTCTGAGACAAAAACAAACTTCGGTTGTTGGGATCTGTCTGGTCCCCTGTTCCCTCTAGAGATGTGACCAGTCATTACCGACCCCAATTTTGCGAATGCATTCCTTTTCCGGCACTTGGTTAGCGGCGATTGGGTGCTGGCGACAACTGGTATCATTTAGCCAGAACCGTTCAAAGACAACAAGCAACCGAATCTTCCATGAGTCAATCAAAGACAATGTTGTGTTTTCCGAGTTGTCTCAGACGTTAAGAGGGATTTTTTTAATTTTTAGCTTTTCGATTCTGATTCTCTAATAATAAAAAGTTCATTTTAGCAATTGACAAAAATTTACAGACAATAGAGTTAACCACTGTCTGGCATGCCAAGGGAACATTCAAAACATGTCCGGCTTTATTTTATCAAATCTACACTATCCTGCTGTAACTACGCAAAGCAAAGTGAGAATCAATATATTCGGCCTTTCAGACAGCTAAAAGATATCAGAACGAGCCTTGAGCCTTCCCAAAGATTCGTCAATTTTGAAAAAGCGTCAAATAACGCTTTTCAAAAAATGTTCAGCGGCGTAACTATCAAAGGTTGTATTTTTTTCAGCGCAAGCAAATTGGCGCACATTTCATGAACTTAAATTTTGCATCCTCACACCGACAACTTAAGAAAACACGCAAATTACTTAAGTCAATTGTCGCTCTGGCTCTGATTCCATAACTTAATTTCGCAATATTCATCACTGCATCAATGTTTTATGCAGTGAAATTTACAAGGAGGACGAATTCCCCTCATTATCCTATGTGAAATATTTTGCAACAAGATGATTTTGAACAATTTTTCGCAGGCGCAGCGAAAACCGTTTTTCAGCTTACAATTTTCAAGTTCTAAGTAATGCGTAAACGTGTTTAGATTTCGCTGATGATTTTGCCGGAGTTAGTGGATCCGCCTCTTTTCGGCCTTTACAAATCTTTTTCAGGTGTTGCCGACCGGAAGTTGCAAAATCAAAAAGTTTTTTTTTTGCGGAACCCAGAAGTTGGTTTTGAATCAGCAACAATGAATATTTCTGCTTTTCGCCTGATAAAATTGCATCAAAAAATGGTTCCAGTTTGTGGCTAGTGGTTTTTAAGCTGCATCGTCGTTGGCATCAAAAACTTACACTTGTAATGTACTATACTAACTCAGTCTAAATTTTGAATGATGATTTTTTTTTTGCAAGAATTTGATGAATTATGATAGCTTCAAGGCCAAAAACAGTGCAATGAGTGCTCTCTCTCTCAATCATGTTTTATTGCTATTCGTAGGAAATTTTATCTCATTTCTGTTGGAATAAAAGTTCTTAAGCTGCCGAAGCTTTTTCGACACAACCTGTGGCCTAGTGATAATTCACGAAAAAATTTAGTTTCAAAAATTTCGGTATTACAAAAAGCGTTGAATAATTTCGACGCAAGGTTCGAACTTGGTCTTTTTCAATTTTCACGGCATGCCGTGATTCGATAAGTGCGCTTTGAGTACTTCGAGGAAAATCAATGATATACGACACATTTTGAAAGAAAAAGAAAAAAGTTTTTTTTTGTTTAGTTTTTTTCATTATTGTGCTCGGAATTTTGTTCGGAAAAAAATGCCAAAAACTTACTTATCAAATCACGGGGTGCCGTAAAAAATCGAATTAGACCAAGCACGAACCGTACTTCAAAAGCATTCAACGCTTCATCTGATTCCTTAAAACGTTCTTATCAAGTCACGGGGTGCTACGAACAATTTGGTTTAAACCAAGATCCAAACACGTGCCTTGAAACAAAAGCACTCAACGCTTCATCTGATTTTTATTATAATAAATCAATGCGATCGAAAATCTGAGGGCAAAAAATTGAAACCACAGCAACAAAAACGTTTTGACTGACATTTTAGCATAAACACCGAACCCTAAAATTTAAATTGAACGCATGCACTCCACTCCATTGGTTCGTTTATTGTTCCAAGACCACCTTTTAACTAACTCAATAATTTTTTAAAATTTCTTGACTGTTTTTGACAATAAATTTTAATTTCACGAGGAAGAGGGAATCCACAGAAATTTAGAATATCTCTCAATACAAAAAACTAAATAATGAAAAAAAAACTACACAGAAAACTTTTTTTTAACTTTGAAATTGTGTCGTTTTTTTGTTCTTTTTCTATCGTTTTTTAAAAATTGTGTCGTTTCTTGAAAATCACAAAATTTTGGCGCCCGACAAACTTTCGAAAAAACAACTATATTTTCACGGTTCAACTTTAACTATAAGCTATAATAAGACCTATTCGCTTGTTTTTTGCTTGATAATCTTTGACACTTGCTTTTTCTCGGCACTGGGAAAAATTTCTTCTTTTTTCATGTTATCACAACTGAAAAAACTCTGCTATGATGTATTATTTGACCATTTCCGATGATTATTTGTGTTACTTGATTTTGTGGTACGTGAAGTTTTTAACACCTGAAAACAAAAACCCATCAAAAAATAAAAGTCTATCTTATTTACAATGGTCGGAAAAATAACTCGGGTAATTGGGAGAACTTTTAATGACTCAACGCCCTCGAGGGATAACATACAAAAAAAATTTGGGTTCATTGGTTAATTAAAATCGTTTTGATGCATTTTCGCATTGTTTTAATTTAAAAACTGCCTCCAAATTAAGCTAATTTTCTTCTTTTTCATCCCTAGAACTTTTGACAACACATATAAACCCAATAAGACGTTTTTGATTAATAGTAAGACGAAAGATATTCTTCGAAACAATTAAAAAGACTGCTAGTACATCAAGGCAAGGCCCTGAACGTTCTGACTGCTTTTTAAGGCCAATTAAAAAGTTGCACGATTGAATCATTGACGAAATAATAATAAAAAAATTCAATTTTTTCTGCATATTATCCCCCACGTTCTATTCAAGATGTGAAGGTTGTGTTTAGCGTCTCTTAATATTTTGAACAGACTACATTGCTGCATTAATTGAGTTTGGAATGCATCAGTTCGCAGCTTACGCGTGTTATAAGCACGCATTATATCGCGGGTTGAATATAAAAGTTGGGCGAGTTAGAAAATTTCAAACAAAGTTTACAAAGTTTACAAAGTTTTTAATTCATGAAATATTGAGATTAAATCATAATATGATATGATAATTATGATTAAAATTGAGCTCAGGGCAACAATATTTCTCAGATGGTATAGAGAATTCCCTCAAAATTACTTAGTTAAGAAGTCGAAAACTGACTAAATAAATAAATCACCGCAATAAAAAAAGTTCCACACTTTCTTCGAAAGTCGGATAAAAACGTTGCCCGCGTATCAGGGCGAAGCCCTGAACTTTTCGACTGAACTTTATCGAAAATTTTAGTTTTTTGGTAAAAAATTGACAAAATAAATAAAAAAAAATATATACATATATATTTGTCAGTTTGACCCCCCAATTGGCTAAATAAAATTGACTAAATAAAAAACCACCTCAAGCATAAAAATTCCGTTCTTTTCGAAAATCGAAACAACAAGAGTACTCGTATAGCAAGGCGAGGCCTTGAATGTTCCGACTGCACTTTAAGACCTATTAGAATTTTTTTTGTTTGAACAATTGACAAAACATTCAAAAAAAGATGTTTTTTTCTTTTTTTTTCTTCAATTCATTCTCCCACATGCTATGTAAGATACAAAGGGTGTGGTTGGCGTGTCTTATGGTTTTAAAAGGAGTTAATTGCTGACCTGAATTCAACTTGAAAAACAATAATTTGCAGCTGACACATGTTATAAAAACACATCATTTTGAGCTTTACTTATCCCAAATTGAACGTATGAGCAACTTTCAAATACCCGTAAGCTTACCAAAAAATTCGCCAGTACAGTTTTTTAAACATGAGCTCAGGACTACAAAATTATTTTGATGGTATAGAAAAATTTTGTCAAAAATGCGGACGGAGTCGAAAATTTACTTTATAAAAAATCACCCCAAGCGTAAATATTTCGTGCTTTCTTCAAACGTCGAAACTGTTCACACCCAAACATGTTTCGATTTTTTAGCGCTTCCACTCATTGTGAAACGATGGCCAAAATTGTCCCAAAAACAGGTTATCGAACTTATTGTTTTGAGGCATTTTTGGAATCGGCCAACTGTTTGGGAAAGTGTGCTGCCAGAGTTGCGGCTTCTAAGCATTTTGCGAAAACTCTGGTAAAGATTTTGGAGTAAATATGCACAATATAATTACAATACTTACTTTTGACTTTTGGAGATTTTAGGTGTCGGCGGTGTGTGCAATGAAAAATTTGGTCTATAATTCTTTCAAATAAAACTTTTTGAAGTTTCAGGTTCATCAAAACATCCAAAAACTTTTTACCTAATGTACAAAAGTCCTCGCTTCCCCCAAAACAGTCTCGGCCGGTTTGCGTGGAGGGGTCGTTACTGTACAAATTACAGCATTTCGTAGTCAGAGTGTAGCAGGTTTCCTGTTGTAGACCACTGGCATACACTGCACCCGGTTTCTCGGGAGACTCCGTCGGAAAGAGACTGATTCCTGCGTCCGAGGGACTGATTTCGATCTCGTCGCACAAAACGTAGTTGCTGAAATAGCCAAGTACTTGCACTTCGAATGAAGCGCTCGTATCGTGTACTTCAAGTAAGTCCACTACATGGCCAGCTTCAGATTCTGAAATTAATTGAATATTTTATCAGCAAAGAGACACAGAAAAAGAGCGCTTCACCTTTTCAAGTCTCATGCAAGAATCTACATAAGAATCTCACCAATTTAAGAAAAAGAGAAGTTTCTTGATGTAGTACTTCTCTCAGGAAACAATAAAGCAGAAACAAGGTTCCTCTCCTCGTATACCAAGGCAAAATTCTGAATAATCCGACTGCAACTTTTGGGCCACTTTAAAAGTTTTTTGGCTGAAAAATTGACGAAATTCTACAAAAACAGAAATTTTGTTTCAATTTTCGTAAAATTTTTTACCCCACACGCTAGTGTAAAGTACGAAGGTATGTATTTAGCGTCTTGTATCCATTAAAAAAACTACCAAATTACTTGCCTCAACTCGTGTCTGGACATTTGTGTCCCAGACATTTATGTCCCGGAAAAAACTGTCCAAAACGCAGAAATTGTCCAAGAAATTTGGTTCCAAGACAAAATTGTCACAAAATTGTAGAAATTAGCAATTTTCAAACCCCCATAACTTTACGAAAAATAATCTTAGGTGAAATATGTTTTAATTGAGCTTTAAAAACAATATTTTTTAGATGGCATAGAAAATCCGTTGAAATGCTTGATTAAAAAGTCGAAAATTAACTGAATACAAATTTTTTTTCTCAAGCTGGGTTTGCTTGAGAAAAAAAAGTAATGCAGAAAAGAATTTTAGCAGACAAAAAATTGCGCAATTATTTTGCAAATATTGGGCCCAAATGATAATTTTTTTCAGTCAATAATGGGTATTCTATATAAAAAATGACACAATTTTGGTTATCAAAGGAAAATAAACATGTTAATAAAAAATATGAAGATGAATGATTTCACAAACGTTGCTGGGCTACATATATATAAGAGGCTCTTTTGAAACACTTTTTGTCTGCAATTGATAAATTTTGCTTAAAAAAATCAAACCAAATCAATTCTGCTAAACTTTTAACCAAAATCCCTCATCATTAATTTTTGTCTGAAATGAACTCAGTTTGAGAAAAAGAATTTTAAGTTTCAAGTTTTGATCATTTTGTCCGGATAATTTAAGTCAGCACTGTAGTAAGAGTGGTAGGCGCTGCATTGTTTTAACGATCTATGCGGCACGCAGATCTGTATATGAAACAAAAACGAATTTGGTGAAATAAAGTTTTCATTTAGCAGTGGGTAACTTGCAAAAAAGGGGGCGGGGAGGGGGCTTCTTAAACAGACCTAAAAATTTTTTTTGAAATTTTGCTTCTAAATTCTGAGCAAGAGGAGCAAACTTTAATTTCTTTGCCAGATGAGATTTCGAATTTTAGGCAAGGTACGAGTTGTTTGCTTCACAATGAGGTAAATTTAAACACAATCTTTAATTATGATAGATACTTTTACTGCATTAGCTCTGGCGGGCTATATTTGAACTCCCATTTTGGATTGAATTTTTTTCGAACCTATATATAAAACGCTTATTTTTACGTGAACTCTATTTGCCCCCTCCTATCGCTCTCCCACTGGATTTGTAAAACAATGTGGGTAAAGATAAATCAAAACTGCTCCTATCAGGTCAAACACTAAAAGTTCCGACCAGCTTTAAGCTGTCTTTACTCAATTCCGCTTTAAAAATATTACAGAAAAATCTTCACAAAATTGCTTTTCGTTTCAAATCAAAATAAAGCTCCATTATGCTTCGAACAACTTTTTTGCTTCTACTGATCTCTTATTCGGCAGATTTAAGTGCTTCCATGAACTTTCTAATATTTTCAGCCGGTTGAAATCTTCGAAAGAAAACTGAAGGTATTGCGCGCAATAATTATCCCAATGAAGTAATTTTGAATATCACGTTACCTAATAAAAAGTGATGAAAAAAATCAAACATCTCCTAAAACATCAAACATTTTGAATAGTTTCTGTTAAACTCTCTCAACTGCTGTTTTGTGAGGAATTCAATCTCGTCTGAATAAAAAAACTAACATCAAGCAAATAAGCTACAGTTGAAGCTAATTGAGACCGATTAAGGGGCAGTCGGAACATTCAGGGCTTTGACCGGATTTGCGAGCAGTTTTGTTCAGTCAATTGATTCCGACTGAGATGCGCATCGTTCCGAGTTTCGTTAAGCTAAAAATCATCTTTCCAAGTTTTTTTTGTTGCCCTTAGTTAAACCTACATTGATTGCATTTATCTTCTCAGCTCAGATTAATAAATTCAACGTGGCTGTCAAAATGAACTGGGATGTCTAATGTCTTTCATTTAAAAACAAAACATAATTTACTATCAGGAAAAATGTTACTCTTAGAGAGTTCAACCAAAAAAAACATCCCCCTGAATTGAAATATCGCCCAGCAAATCTTCATAAATTTTTCCAGTATCTCCTCCTGCAAAAGGGGGGAAATTTTTCAGTTGACCGAAGTTTTAGTAGTATACCAGATCAGTAAACCCAGTTACATAATGCTTACTTCGTTTGCCGAATCAAAGATTTATGGATAATATTTTTTGAACTAGAGAAAAAGTTTAATTATTCGACTTCAATATTTGTGTCATTTCATTATTTGTGTCAGTTTTTGTTGTCAGGAAAAAATATTTTGTAGTACAAATCTGTCTTGGGTTGATTTGTTTATGTGAGCTAATGATGCTATTTCCGAGCACAAAAAATAGTTGTAAAAAACAATTTTGCTATGTATTCTTAATAACAAAACCTAATTTTTGGCCGATCGATAGTCAAGTTTCTCTAAAGGCGACTTTGACTACTAATTTTGAGGAGGGAGGGGGCGTGCGCCAAAAAAACTCACATTTTTGGTCAACAGCTAAAAATTAACCGTTTGGTCTATTGTTTCATTTACTTGCTCGCGGCATAGAAATCTTTAAAAGTTATAAGGTTTTTGCGGTGCTTAAGGAGAGCTTAGGAAATCAATTGGCTCAATTTATTTAAAAAAATCATCAAAAATTCAAAACTTAAATCCAATTATTTTATAACAGGATGACACTAAAATGGAAGGGGATAAATGTATTTAGTAACCGCAGAGAACAAGACTTTCTACATCCCAAAACAGATTTTTAAATGAAAAAGTTTTTTTTTGAACTAATTACAGGATCGTATATTAATTTGAAAAACTCAAAAAATTGGTAGAATTAAAAATCAACATTATCACCTCATGTTAAAAATATTTTATGGCACAGAATGTCTTAATAGTAGTGTTCTGGGTTCTGTGAGTGCTCGGAAAATTAATTTGGTCGACATATTCGCAGTTTTCCTTCCTCCGCACCGAAAACCATATAAAAAGTTCGCGTCCCCAGAACGACCGACTAATTATTACCTAGCTAGGGGGTCGGAGGGGTTGAACACCCCTTCTCAATGATTCCTATTTAGAGCCGTGAATTACTACCAAAGAGCGACACTTGCAAAAGGATCGAATCATTGAGAAGGGGCGTTCGCCCCCTCCAACCCCCTAAATAGGTAATAATTTAGAACCATTGAGAAGGGGGTGGATCTAGAATTTTCTTGAGGGGGGGGGGGGGGGGGGCGGGAAAATTTGAAGAAAAAAAAACAGGACAAAATTGCACTTTTCCGGCACTGCCCCCATGTAGTGCATAAAACCTTCATTAAAACAATAAGCGCAAAATTTGCAATCAATTTAGTAAATTGGACAAAACATGCAGCAATTATGAAATATGCAGGTTAGTTTTCAGTTAGTTCAAACGACAAAATATATAGTAGGACAAAATCTGTTCGGCCTAAAAAAAACCAAGAAAAATCGTAGATACAAAAATTGGCACAAAATTGTAGATGCAAACGTTACATAGAGAAAAATTTTATGCAAGGCAAAGAATTTCGCTTTCTGAGTCCCAAAGTTTTCAATATTTTAATTCTGAAGTTGAAAAAATCTTTTGAAAACTTACGATGAATGGAACTAAACGTCATCAGTGCAGCTATCCATATCTGAAAGGTGCCCCTGCCACGACTCTCCATGGGCGTTAAAATTACAAATTATTTTAACTAAAGAAGGATTTAGTTTTGAGTAGTTACCATTATTTCCTTATACTACGTTTGCAATCAATATTTTAACTTTTCGGTTCAAATTCAACTAAATAACAGACCACTACAACACATTTTTGAACAAATGGAACGTTTCATTTCAGTCTAACTTTGAAGTTTTTATTATTGGTAGGTCATTTGATATCTGAAAGATACTTCCGTTTTGGATACGGAACGGAACAACCATAAAGCCAAATTTCAGCGTCGTTAAGGCCAAATTTTTGCAATAACTGCTGCATTATGCCGAATAATCTGTGTTCTGATCACTTAAATTAATTCTGGCATTCTACGGTTTTGAAGATATAAGCAAACATGTTAGTTACAATCAAAGTCTGAGCCAATTTATACAACAAAATTTTTCAAAATATCATCCTTGTCCTCGAGATCTCTTCTTCGGATTAAACTTCGCCCTTTTGATACCTACATAAAAATCACTTTGACTTATCGACACTCATAGATTGAGTTAAAACAGTTTTTATACCGAGTAGAGACATCAACATATTTGTTGGTAGTTTGTAAACTGTATTGATTTTACAATAAAAACTTGATTGGCGAAAGGGGAAAAGTTGCAGTTTCGAAAACATCTGACGCAAATCAAGCCGGATGTTTCAGAATCTACGTTGACTTCCCATGTTAGCAAAGTATGAATAATTAACTTTCTTCCCGTAGCTGAAATTGAAAAAGATACAACGACTCTCGGAAGATTTTGCTTACTTTTCGCAATAAATAATTTAGTTCAAAAAAGCAGAAAAACAAACAGGATATAAGAGAATTTGATCAATTTTCGTCATCAATCAAAATATTTTTTCAAGAACTAACTAAAAACTACAAGAATTCTTCTCCAAATACATTTTTGCCTAATTTTCATTCGCACTTAAGGAATTTATTTTGTTCAAAATTAGCACGTTTGTTAATGTGCATACAAACATGAATTACTTTAGAAAACAATTCGCAATTACCAGGTTGACGAATGATGAAGACATCAATACTTTTTGTATAAAACAAAAAATAAAGTGTTTTTTGTGGCTGATTCATTTTGCTTCTCATTTGAAAAACATGAGCACTCAATGAAAATGCACATATCAAAAACAACTTTTTAAACTGCTGACCATTCATACTTGTCACTCAAATGCAGTTGACTAAAAGCGGGGACCGATCGTTTAGCAGACCATCAATAAAGTGATGGATGATTGTTTGACAGACTCAAAAAGACGCTCAGTCTGGGGCCTATCTTCCCCAATTAAGACAGTTATCTCACAATTTGTCAAAAAAAATCTTTAAAAACTCAACAGTTTAAATTAGCGGCAAAACAACGATTTACGAGCACAATAACACTCGTGTTGAATTGAAGCGCAGCGGAGCAAGCTGTTGCTAATCGCGAATGCCGCGTTTAAGTTAGCTATCCCACTTTATAATTGTTCTGAGTCTGCTAGAAAACCGGTCTGCTAAGAAACCAGTCTGCTAAAATCCCTAGCACCACTAAAAGCATCAAGGAAGTATAGAAGAACTTGTTCTAGGCGCAGAGTACTAAAATGAGACAATTCATGAAACCAATTGATAATTACAGCAGATTAAGTTTCAACTTTTTTTATCTTTCTTAATGACAAAACCAAAATCAAAATCAATTGCAGAAGCTAGCACCCAAAATTCCTTGCACCCCAATTAGTCTCGAAAAAGCTATCTTGGCAAACAAAAATGCAAGCTGGGTGAAAAAAAACTTAAAAAAATATATAGCCAATTATTTTGTTGCAATAAATTCATAATGTAAATCCAGATTTTTAGTGAAATATTTGATATTTTTGATCGCACAGACTGCAATTGAGCTCCTGAAAAACAACAACTACAGCCTTATTAGTAAAATTATAATCTAATCAATAAGCATAATTTGTTGTTCCGACTTTTTTAAATGCAAAATCATGTGAAAAATTTTTGAAAAGCTTTCTTTTGTATTTTTACGAGGGGGTGAAAAACTTGAAAAAGAGTAAAAAAAAACTACTAATTGCCAAACTTAAGCGCAATATTATAAAACACGCGCAAGCAGCGGAATAAATTGTCTCATATTGAATGCGCTTCGCAAACACTAGCGAGAAAACCACAAAAATTAGCTCTATACAGTGCAATAAGAAAAAATAGAAATAAGCCTCGATTTAGTAAAAATTCGGCAAGGTCTCAATACGATCTGCGAACTACGGCGACATAAGAATGTGCGTCTAACTCACTAACCACTAAACCATGGCTGCTTCATTACTGACAAAAACTAGCCTCAAATAAAGCAGAAAACAGATGATATTAGATTTCGAATGCTGCAGATTGTGATTATTTCAAAAGTGCCACCAAGCTATGAACATTTTGCCACCAAATAATGAACCCTTTTATTTGCGAGTTAAGTTTTAAAAAATAGACGGTTCATACTAACACACTAACGCTCGCAGGTGTAAATAAGGCAAGTCTTTTGGAACATTGCAATGTTCTTTTTTTATAAAGTAGGGAAACTTTTTTTAGTTTTCATGAATTTATCAATGTTTCAGTCAAGAGCTTTTTAATTGGCCTTAAAGTAGATTTGAAACATTCTAGATTTTGCTTGAATGTAGCAGTAGTCTTGATTTATAACAAATGATTTCTAGATGGTTTAAATCAAATATTACCATTCAAAATTGAATAGCGTGTAATAATTATCACTAGTTGCCAACTTTCAAATCCTCATTACTTCACTTCATGATTGCAAAACAGATATATGTTTTTGAAATTTTGGCTCAGAGACTTAAAAAGTTTTGGGACGTTTCAACTAAAACTTAAAGAAAAACACCAAAGCACCCACCATGAATTTTCCGTCAATGTCTTCGAAATCCGGTTTAAAAAGAAACTGGTCCATAATGCATGAACAACTTACTCATCATCAAACAATTTATTCTCAATAGGAGAGCTTTTTTCTAGCGAATTCTAGACTACTTGCTTGTTGTATCAATCAGCATTTAGTTCAAAAATAAGGAGAATTTAAAAAAATACAAATCAATGCAAAAATTGTTTTTGAGACATTTGATACGTAATAAATTTGAACAGAACAATTTAAATTATTTTAGAGAGGAAAGCGGAAACCCCATAAAAATTCAATTCTATCCTCGCCTGATCGTAAGTATATCAAACTCATTTTTCCATAATAAAGCAGAGTAATCAAAAGTTTGATTAGATACATATTAATTTTTTTGAAGCGTTAGATGCTCAAAATTACCAGCCAAAATCATCAGTTACCGCAGTTCAAATTCAAAATTGCGAAAGCATCTGTGTGTTGTTTTTATAAAACTGATTAATGATTACTTACTGCATATCTACTTACACGTTCAACACAGCCCAACATTTCAAGCCAACTGATTTAATGAAAAACCTACTTCTAGCTCTAGAACATGACCAACTGCGACATAGAAATTATGCGTTTCACGCACTAACCACTCAACAACGGACTCTTAATCCTTCACAAACTGAAGCCACAAATGAAGACCAGAACAGATGCTATGAAATTTAGTGTTACAGATCGTGATTATAGCAAAAAGGCACAGAAGTGAACACTTTTAATGAACATTTTATTTGCTAGATAGGTTAGAAAAAAGAAGGTTCGTACAAAAACACTAGCTGCTCGCTCGCTAGCGTAAATATAGCCCACAGAAGATTGGAAAAGCGTAAGACAAAAAAGAAACCAGAAAATTACAATTGAAAAAACTTTAATTTTCCGACTTACAAAGAAATATTTCTACCACAGTGAAGCTATTCAAATTTAAAGTACTTTTTATGATAATTTTTTAATGAAATAGTGGATTTCAACTTCAATTTAGAAGCAAAGCTGAGCTTCGCGCCACTTGCGATACAATTAAGAATGACTATGATTAAAATCAAATGGAAAAGGAAACTAAAAAAAATCATTTATACAATCCTTTGTTTTTTCAAAAAAAATTGATACAAAAAATCCGGATAAAAAATTGCCTGCACCGTTGGAAACTCTACAAAGAGCTTTAGGAAGGCTTTTGGAAGGCAAGTTTTCAAAAATGTTTTTTTTCTGCGGAACTAAGCAGACAAAAAAGCGGACAGACAATAATTTAAATTAGCCAAAACTTTCTATTTGCAAAAAAAAAACAGGTGTCAACTGGAATCGAACTCCGGCGTTTGTCGTCTCAAGCATGGGGGTTACAGCAACATGGAATGAAGCTGAAACATCGAGTTACAGGAACCAAGCCGACAAAAAGACGGACGATAACCAGAAAAAGCACAAAAACTCTAGCTCGCCAAATAAAGGTCCCGGCCGGATTCTAACCGCAAGCCTTTACCGTCTTGATCTGTTGTTTTACCTCTACGCCAGATGCACCGGATGGTTTGTTGAGTTTTAACTCATTACCAAACGGTTATTCATAACTACCAAACGACGCAATAAGAGGCCACTTAGTCAATATTTTTTGTGCCGAGAACTATTAAGCCGATAAAAAATACAAATGAAAAAAAGTGAAATGCTAACATATCGAGCTGCTGAAATTACAACCACTGTGAAAAGCAAATATCGATTCGGCCGGATTTTAAAATGCTAAAAGCAACTACAGTGAAATTTATTTTTAGCTTAAATAAACGATTCCAGATGTGGCAACCAAGCCGACAAAACATAAGCAGACAAATTCTTGGCCGAAATTTTTTTGAATCTGAATCTTTACCGTTTGAAAAAAAACTGACCCTAGTCAGATTTGAGCCCAGGACCTTTGCCGTCCCGGGCGTATTCGTAACCAACAGGCTTAATGTGCACGAGACACTACAAACGTTGAATTCATAATGAACTAAGGTACACGACGAGTACCATGAGTCCTGTATACAAGGTTGTCTATGGGGGAAAAAAGGGTAGTAAGTGAACTGAAACCCAAATCACAAAACAAAACGCACAAAAAATCAAAAAAAAGGCGAAGAAATAGTTTTGATAGCTCCTGACAAAAAATCATCGAAATCTATAGAGTGAAAGCCTCTTTGTTCTTTTAAACTTAAAAACAGTTTTCAGTGATACTAACTTAAAATACTTTACAAATAGCCAAAATGTTGATCATAAAATTCAACTGATTTAGATAATTGTTTTTTACATATTCAACTACCCGGTTGCATTAACCTTGCTTATCTAAAGATTAAAGATAGTTCACAAAATTATGGGAGTATAAAGTTTTCCCATTTTTTAACTCTACACAACTTCGCACTTTTCAATTATTTCGCGCAATATTAAACCGGCTAATCGAATTGATGCAAAATAAATTAGACCGAACATATTGGTCCAAACAACGTGTAGCTAGATTAGCAACCTTTAATGTAATGCTTCGAACTGCGGCTGAAGCTTCACAAAATTTACAGAAATTTAGTTCATTAAAAAAAAATCAGCTATCTATTTAAGACACCTTAATCTGATTTGCTGAACAAGTTGCACAAAATGCTCCGACCAGTTTTTTAGTTGTTTATTTAGATTTTTCTTGGAGTAGCAGGATGAATTAAAATAAAACAAGTTGCACAAAATGCTCCGACCAGTTTTTTAGTTGTTTATTTAGATTTTTCTTGGAGTAGCAGGATGAATTAAAATAAACCTCGCAGTTCGATAAAAATAATGTAGTGAACTTTATATGACGAACAGCTTCTCGTTGAAAAGCAGCCAGTAAAGCGAAACTTTCTGAAATTGGTTTTTCTCGATCAGAAAAATTATGACTGAAAAGACTTTAATATGACAACATCTTGTGAGCTTTCTCTGAAGTAGAAATAAAGTCGCGCGAAAAGTGTCAAAATTTGTTTTCTAAACTTTTTAGTTATAAAAAACTATTCGATGTCCGCCGAGACACGAGGGTCACCTGTTCAATTTCTGATATATCTACAAAGTATCTTTTTCAAAAAAATCTTTTAACTGAATATATAACATAGCAATTGGATGTTTATACCAAAAACTTAGCTAAACTCAATTATATTTATAACCAGGAGTAAAATCTGTCACTAGCTTTGAGAAGATTCCATTTAAAAGTTAATTAACATTTAACTAAAACTATTCAGGATTACTTATAAGTTTTGGATGATAAAATGATATTAGAGGTTGCGTACTATGGTATTTTGCACGAAAACATCAATAAAAAACAACTAAAGTAGCAGAACGATGCAAGCTTTAAAGAGGAATAGTACATTAAGTGTACAAATCAACTTTTCCAAAATCACTCCAAATTCGTTGGATCAAAGTTGCCAAAATAACATATATCATAGCATGCTTACTTATCGAGACATAATTTATCGAAACTATACTTATAGAAAACTAACTAATCGGGTCGCTAATTAACAGCAAAAATTGTTGAATTATATAGTATCTACGATTATCAAGACCAGTAACTCCTTTTAACAGCGAGTATTTTCAAATCATACAAAACACTTGCTTTCGCAAATGTGAAACGAATCCACGAATCAACAATATTAGCAATCTCTCGAGTATTGTCAGTCTGGGAATGCTGGTCTTGAAAATCAAAAAAATATGAGTAGATTTCAATCTACTTTTGTTAGAATTGGCATCAATTGATTGCGTAAATGACTCGGTGAAAATCATCATATTTCGAGGATCATAAGGAATAGAGTTAGTTCTGTTCGGAAAATGATGGGTTCCGTTCGAATATTGTGCCTCGCCGTTTTCATCCGTTTGTATTTCCCTAGTTCCGCACTGAATTATTTGAGTCGCTGGGTCACATTTGCAAGAGCAATTCCGAATGCCTGAAGAGCTGAGAAAGGTGTCTGGAAATCCAACGTGTAAGCGTTGTCATCTATCCGCCCAAATTGCAGAACCTAGACAAATAACACTCTTTGAAACAGTCTTTTAAAAGTTGAAGTCCTATCGTCTGCCACTTTTTCATGGTCGCCAATATAGGTGTTGAAAAATATGAAAAATAATATCGTTTGTGGTGCCTTCGAATTTAAAAAATCTCCAGTCATGTCCCATTTTAGATAAAAATTGACCTAATTTGAGAAAACTAGATCAATAAGTACATTCATTAATGGGCTGGGACATTTGAAAATTAAAAATCTAGTTTTCAAACAAGAATGAAAGTCTCGTTTTTCCCCACGTTTGCTCGCGTACTGTTGGAATTAAAAATTAAAATTAGATTTCACTCGTCAAAAGAATTCGTGCTTTAGTTGAACTTGGCGACATAAAGTTGGAAAAGTGTCGATGAACAAAAAAATCTTTTATTGAAAATTTCAAAGAAAGAAATATCACGTTAAACATATCACGTTAAAGAAAGAAAGAAAAAAATAAAAAGAAAGAAAAAGGCAGAAAACACATAAATGCCCTCTACGGGAGTCGCAGCATAGGCCTCAAGAATCCAAGTCACTTGCCCTACACAACTGTGCTACTGAAGTTTAAAGAACCGAAACGCTAGCCGCTGATAGAGGGGAGAACATATGATATTAAACTGCCAATACTTGGCAGCACACGTTTCTAACAAAATGATCACCATTTTATGCGAGTTGAATTGAAAAAATATACTCCAACATAACACAATGCTCGTTTGTAAAATATTTGTCCTGAAAAAAATAACTAATCCAGCCAAATAAAGGAAGATTCGTCGCTCTTTACACTAAAACCACAATAACGATTGATTGGACCTGGTCTTTGCTGTGTTCAATTTGAAAGTTCTTGGCCGACTCCTGGGTGACCCTGCCTCCGAAGTCCAGTTGGTAGACTTGGGTGCTCTCGTTCCAGATCGGCGACTTGTTCAACATCACAAACTCCTCCTTCTCCGACCGCTTCGGAAGATTCTCCGGCTTCCGTGGCAGCTTCCGGAATTTCCGCATCTAAAGCACATCCACGTTTTGAAAACTAACAAACCTTCCTTTTTACAACTCAATTTCTGCCCTTTAAATTAACCAATTTCAATTCAGAAAGGATTTGAATGTATGTAACGAGACAAGCTTGCAGAAAAATTTTGCACTTATGCACTTGGTAAGAACCTTACCTGTCTGCGTCTGATTTCAGGATTTGCTATCACTACGGCGCCACCCGCAGCTTCGTCTCCGCTCAGATAACACTCACTATCCGAAGTGTCTCCAATATTGGCCGATTTATTATTGCACAAATTATACTGGCTTCCTGATCCGGAAGGATGCGGCCCCGCGCCGCGACTACTTGGGCTATGTTTCCTATTCTGATTGGCTGAACTCGGGTTCGATCCCCCCACTGACCACGACTGGGTTCTGGCGTGATTGCGGTCGGGTGATCCGCCGAACGCTGCGGCTGGTGGCGCTAGACTCATTAGACCCAATTTACTCCTCACCGCTGCCTCCTGACGACAAGATATCGGTGTATTACTTGGCTGTTGGTGACTAGACGAAGCACCACTAATAGAATGGCCGCTCATTGCTTGGCTTGTTTGCAGTGACATACTTTGTGGAGTGGTACTATTGTCAATGCTGTTCTGATTTGTCGGAGGACAAGACTTAGTTCTGTAGTAGGGAATAGACTGGTACAAGCTGGAACTGGCATTTGAATCACTCGGAGTATGATGGAAACATGTGAACAAATTATGCGGAGATAAGAAACAGTTATCATTCGTACTCGACGACGTAGACTGCACAGCAGCGTAATGCGAGTCTGTTGTATTCGCATTGGCGAAATTGATTGCCGACGTCGACTGTGCCTCCGAAGGCTTCGACTCTCCAGAACCATTGTCCATTCCTAATGATCTCTGTTCAGTGTTGGACTCCACAGGCAAAGCACAGCTTGCAGGCCTGTTTGAACATGCGTTCTGAATTGACTGTTGTCTACTTGAGGAAGGTCGGCTGTTCTCCGCGTTGCTACTGCTGCATTGCAGATCTGTCCCACTTTCGGCCGAGTCGTCGTCACTTCGACAAATATTCGAAGCTACGTTGGGTCCCGTTATTGGCGGTTTATGGGCCAAAGGTGGAGGTTGCACAGGGGGCAAACTCAGGAACATATTATTTGCACTGGTCGACGCTGAGTTCGAACACGATCGACTATGGACTCCGCCTCCTGCGAAACAACTTTTGGGTCTGACTGTGAATTGCGGCCGTGGTCGACAGCACGTCTCTTCTCGTTGCATAAAAGCAACGCTGCTGTTTGCATTTGGGTTCGGTTTATTCAACGTCGGCTTGTGACACCCTGGCGAGACAAAACATTGTGGTGCAGCCATGGATCGGTTTTGAATGTGCGCCAAATTCGTGCACTGCTGGCCCGAAACATGTAAATGAGATGGGAAACTTGGGTAGTTTGCCGGTTGCATATTTGGATTGAAAACATTCGAGAACATTCTCATATCATGTGGATTTTGCTGAGAGTGCATCTGGGGCATGGATGAGTTCGCAGAGGAGTTCTCCTGATGTCTGTTTTGAGGTATGAGAGGTACAACAGGGTGCTTGGGACATCTTTGCATCGGCGACACCACCGGATCGTCACTTCTGTTTGTGAGCACTGACGCAACTGCAGCTGCAACTTCCAGCGGTTTTCCTGACTTCACAGACGTCACTGCTTGGATCACTAAACATGAAAACTATTGGCTCTAGGTACAATATAATTCAACTTGATACCACCTGACTTCATTATAGTAATAATGTTAATCAATGATTAAACTCAACGCGCCAAAAAAGGAAGCTTGAAGACATCAAACTATTTATCTGTCACTATCAATAACTCCTGAATTACAATTTCTTTTTCAAAAATCTAGCGATAAACTAAGTAAGACATTGAAAAATACTTTTTGAATGGCCACCATAGAGCAAATTTTGTCATATAACTGATGAAAACATTCCAATCCAGCCAACAACTTCAGCTATGATTTTAAAGACATAAAATGACACTTTTCCCAAATTTTTCCTGCGGTGCATAATTTAAGTTAGTCGACCCATAAAAGCGTTTCAATCGTTTTTTGAAAATCTACCCAGTTCGAAAAATCCTAGATCGGCCCCTACTTCAAGCATATAGAGAATGAGTTTCCGTAAACGTACCTCTTTGTTCCATTATCTCCTCGTCGCTTCCGTACTCCGGTGACAGAACAGCCTCCGACTGGTTTGCACTGGCTCGTTGCATCTGCTGCTGCCTGGCTAGAAAATGGTACTGCAAAGCATAGAGACTAGACGCATTATTCAACGGGTGATTCAACTGAGGTGGCCTATCATTTAAAGACTGTCGTAAGCCTAGAGGTCCCAAGGGTCTCGCAGTTGGATGCATGACACTCGCAGACTGTCTATCATTATCTTCTATTGATGACTGGTTTCCAAAATGGGCGCCACTTGTAGCTCCTGGAAACGGTTTGAATCCCCTCGCTGGACCCTTGCCGACGTTAAGTGGGGGACCTCTTGGACAAATTGGGACTGTGTTGGGTGCCTGAGGAGTTGAGATCGGAGCTGTGACTGCCAAGTGTTGGCTTAGAGGAGCGACAAGTGAGTTCCCACTCCCAGGAAACACCACAGTTCCCAGTGCAGTGGACTTTGGATTTTTGGCTGATCCATCGAGCAAAGGGATTGCGATTGTCATCTGACGAGGTTGCAAGTGCAGCACGGATGTCTTGTAGGACACGTAGCCTACGTCAGTCGGTAGATTCGGGTGAATGCCGTGTAATCTGAAATAATAGATTCTTTAGAAAAATTGATAACAAAATGGAATCAAAATAAAACAATCAATTTTCTTCAAAAGTAACTTTGAAAACTCAGGTTATTAAAAACCTAGCAGATCAATTGAAAAATTCAGTGATTCTCAATAAAAACCATTCGAAGATATTACATACAATGGTCCAAGAGATCAGTTGAAACATCAAAAAAAAACAGCTATATCAAATGAACTTCTTTAATATTTAACCTCTCTTGGCCAGCATATCTCAACTAATCAGTACATATATCGAATCATTATTAGTGCTTACCTAAATTTGGTGCCCCACAGGTTAGCCAGCACCTCGATGAGTGGCTCCTTCTCTGGTAGTTTGTCTGGGAAGGGCGTGTCTCTGCACCTGGTCGACACTTTGTCCACTGGAGTGCGGAACTGGCCTTTCGTCTTCTTTTTCTTCTTCTACACGCACAAAAAAGCAACTTATGACATCTTGGAAAAAAGTAATCAAAATCACCAAATAAAAATTGTCGTTTTTCGGTCTTATCTTGGAAAACTCGCAAATTAAATTTTTAAAAACTGAATAAAAACGACTGCTGTCTTCTTTCCCGAAAAAAGTTCTTCAAACAAAGAGGCGAAACTGGAACTTCGCAAACACAAACAAAAAAACGTCAAATAGCTCTTGAAAGTTCAAAAAAGGAGAAAAAATTGTTAAACTTAGAAAAAACCATCTAATATGTGCCTGAATCAAACCCCGACCTGGAGATTATGAGTAACACGTCCTAGTACCTGCGCCACGGCCGCTTGACAACCTTTAAAAAATAACCCACAATAAAACAGATACATATATATATATAATCCTATGCAGCAGAAGTAAACCAGATATAATTTTTTTGTTACAACAGTGACGCCAAATATATGAGCACTTTTATTTGCTACTTGAGATAGCTCCGCTTGAATAATAAAAAGAGGTCAACGAGCAAAATTATTTGCTAACCCTTCTTCGGTGCGACGATCCTGACTCGTCTCTGTCAGCCTCGGCTCCCGAGAGAGGCGAGAAGTCGTCATCTCTCTCACTCTCCCCGCCACCAGCCGGTGGTGCCCTGGAAGCAGAAGCTCCAGCTCCTCCTCCTCCTGAAGGTCCAACTCCTGCAATTCCTATGCTGTCGTCTCCTCCGTTTCCATCCCCATCACACATGATGTCACTCAAGCATCGCTTTGTGTCTAAATATATTTTTCAAAATAAAATTCCTTACGCGCAAATTTTTAAATTAATTTTCTTTAGTTTCTGCTCGACGTTTCAGTATGACTGCCAGATGGGCCATCGTCAAGTCAAAACTATAAAATGATATGATAGCCAACAGCCAGCTGGAAAAGTGTCAATGAACGCAATAATTGTGTTTGAAGTTTTGCCTTTTTGTAAACTTTCGAGTTTTATAAAATTAATATATGGCATTAAAGCTCTTTTGGATTTCAAAAAAATTCTGATTGACAGTTTAATGATAAAATTGACTCAACTTCAATAGGTAAAGTTTTTTATTCCTCAGGGAAATCTGAGTAAAATCGACTCTCGAAATTAGAAGTCTATCGTGTTTTTTGTTTTGTGCGAAATGAACTGTACATATAACGAAATCAAAAGTCCAGAAGCGAAAAATAAAATTCCAAAAAAAAACGAAACAAAAAATCATCGCGACCCATATCAGTCTTCACTACGCTCATCGACTTTTTTATGCAGAGAAACGATAGTACGACAATTCATGTTTTCCCCAGAAAAAAGTTTCATTACATTAATATCAATTGGGAAAACCGAACTGCTGGGAAATCTAAAATTAAAATCCTTGAACCTTACAGTCGCTCAGGTTTTTTGTACCATTTCTTCAAGGTTAATTGGAGAGCTTAATTTACCTTCCTTTTAGCAACTAAAAATTAAATTGAGCTTAGAAAAACCAAAAGTCAAACTGCAAAAGGTCAAAATTTCAAAACAATTTTCAAAATTTACTAACACGACCTGCCAAAATAAGTGTCTTCACAACGTTCATTGATACTTAACAAGAAAACCACCAGCAAATTTTCTTTACCCAAAATCTGTGAATTAAAATAGACTAATCTGTATGATATAACTTCTAAATGTACAGTAGTAAATAGAAAAAACAAAACTTGAGTTAGCTACAATTTTTATTGGATAAAAACAATTATCATATTCAAATTCATAACATAGAGCGACACGGCATATTGTGATTCACTAACCTGGTGATGACATCAAACTGACTCCTGATTTCTGTCTTGAGAACCCTGTATTCTGCACCGCCCCGCAACAATATCCACCCGCCACATCGTGACACAAGTAGCAGCCTCCCGGAGCCACCGAGCATCCCCCTTCAACCACTGCTGGACTATTTGTTTCCTGAGGGTTGTAGACTACAAATTCTGGACGCACTTTGCTGATCTTATCGCCTCGGAGGAGGGGAACCAACCCGCCGAGGTATTCGCGATATAAAACGAAGGGACCCCCGTACTTCTCGGCAGCCGACTGGCGACCTCGTTCGTCCTCGTACACTATCATTGTGCAGAAATAGCGAGTCGGTTTTTCTTCGCCCGTATGAGCATCTAAATCAGATAAAGGGTCTTTTCATTCATACTACATGCAGGAAAAAATGGACAATTGTCATTTAGATTTTGAATCGTAATTAAATATTAAATCCAGAATATTGTTAAGGCCGGTAAAAATGAAACAACGACCTCCAAAATAGATTCAGCTTCTTCGTTTCTATAGTTTTCGGTCGTTTTATATAAATAAAGTGTGAGAATATGAGTCCAAATGCATTCAGCATTGCCGATAACATCGCACTAAAGCGACTTTCCAGGTTTCTTTACTGCTCTGGCTATCAGACAGAATTATAAGTTCAAAAAAATTGCTTTTGAGCTGAGAAAACTGACTTAATTAGAAGGGAGTACAACCAAAAAAAACTCGAAAACAACTCATATAATTTTCCATGAGACAAACATGAGGGTGAAGCCTAGCTCACCTTTTTGAACTGGAGGAGGGGTAGAGATGAACTTCATTAGGTCCATTCCCTTCGGAAAGCACGGCTAAAAACAATCAGAAAACGATGTTATTGCATGAAATTATAATTAAAACATTCAAATGCACTTGCACCACGATTAGAGCCCGCCAGATTTCGTTTACCTTAAAATTGTATATACCTAGATTGATTTTTATTTCTTTCGTTGAAGCATTAAAAGTTGATGTTAATAGCTGTAATCGGATCGAAAGATGTCATTCATAAAGATATTCAAGGGATGAAATATTTGAAGTGGTTTTGACAGCTTGAAGAGGTTCCCAAAAAGTCAAATTTGTGAAGCAAGTGATTCAAAGAAAGCAAGATTGGAACATTTCAAGTTGATTCAAGTTTTTCAAGCACGCTACTATTCAAATGACGAAATAATGAAATGTTTCGAGTTGTTTGATGGCTTGTAGGGTTTAGAAAAGGTCTCGCGTTGAAAAACCCATAATACCAATATTATTTCAGCGAGCTGGGATCGATTAGCTAATTGATGGCGCCCAAATTTTTTTTAAATCGATAACATGATTTATCATTCAACTACGTTAAAATATTGGCATTGCCATGGCATATTAACTCTAACATATCTACACTAATTTTCACAGCCAACTTTCTCATGGTCTCAATATTATATAAATAAAGAAAATAGCCAACTGACAGCTTTGTAGAACAATTATGATGGACACTTTTTTGTTAAAATTAACCCAATTTAAGAAAACTGGATCAATAGGTATAACTTTTATTTCGCTGGAAAATATGATAATTAATTTCCATTTTCGAAATTAGAAGTCGATCACGTTTTTTGTGACCTTTCAACTTTTTCTGTTCGATAGTAGAGTTTGCCTTCTTTTTAACAATAAAAATGCACTGAACTTAAAAGGAAATCACAAGTCAAACCGTGAAAAATCAAACTTGAGCGTGAACAAATTTTAAAACTTTTTCCCGAAAAAAAAAAAAAAAATCAGCAAGACCTAAATAAGAGTCTTCACTACTGTCATCCGGTACGGATCGATTAACTTATCATCGTTGTTAGTTATTAATTTGATTAACATATTTATATATATTGTTTGGTCAGTTGAACTTGATACGGCTGCATGCCGACTTAAGTCCATGAGCAAGTCTCAGAAGATAATTTATGTTTCTGAACAACAGCTGTTTTTATCAAACTCAGATAAAGACTACGTTTATCAATACGTTCGGTTTCATTATAATCACGCTCATATATTGAGGTATGACATGGCGCAGCCAGCAGGATACTCAAAAAACCCGCTGAATTTTAACCCCTTCCGGGAGAAAGCCTCAGCCGAGCCACCACTGGAATGGTCGAAGTGGGCAGCGATTTTTGAGATGGCAGTATTTGCCAAAGACGGGATTGAAGTAAGAAATCTTCAAAGAAATAAACCTCCGCTCGTCGAGCCCACAGAACCGATATACGAGGTCGAAATAAATGGAGAAACAGAAGCTCAAAGGAAAAATCGGGAGGTTCGCAACCATGAAAAGAGTTGCTTGGGAGAACCACGTCGTGAAAGCCCGAGAAAAGGGAGTCCTATGCAACTAGTTCCGATAGGATGAAGCAGACGCTAACGTAAGAAGCTACATTTTTCTTTGCCTGGGAGCCGAGGGCCAACGTCAAACTCAGCAAAACCGCCCAGGCCTAGTGCTACACGCGGTGACAACAAGAGAGCTAATTACGACTCTAGAAGACATATTTGTGACAACCAGAATTGTCGCGTTCGAAGGATACAACTTTATCTGCAGAAAACAAAAGAAAACGGAAAGTCTGGAACAATTTCACGCTGATCTGGTCGAGTTGACTTCAAGAGCTGATTGCGGGGACAGAGAGGACGATTGGGTGCGAGACATGTTAACGGCACACATACAAAATGAAAAGATAGCCGAAGAGTTACTCGCGCAAACAAGAAGCCCACAAGATGCGTATGAGTTTGCAATACGCAGATTAAAGGGAATCGAACATAGTCGCACAATGAAAACAAATCCGTTCGGAAACCAAGTAAAAGCAACAAAAAAGGAACCGGTATACTATATCAACGCACGGGGACGAAGTAATTTTGCAAACAATCAGGTACCTCAAAGAGGCCGTGGTTACTTTCGGGGACGCGTATATCCTCAAGGTCAACAAAATGCAAGAGGTCAGTCTCAACAACAAAGAAACCAATACTCCAACAATTAAAAAGCAATGCTTTAAATGTGGTAACCAATTCGGACAAAACCACTTACAATCATGTCCCGCAAAGGATAAAATTTGTTCTAAATGCGCCAAACGGGGCCATTTTGCCAAAGTGTGTCGCTCAGGAAATGTTAACTATCTGGGAGACCGCAACAATGAAGAAGAACAAGAAGAAACCGAATCAGAGAGTCAAGGAACAGAACTCGATCCAGTCGCGTTTGCTGATTTTACGTCAAAAAATAGTTGGGCGGAGTATCACGTCGGTAATTTTTCAGTGATGGCAATATCAGAAGCATTTGAAATAAAACACGCAACAAATTTGTCCGAGGATGATTTAAATGGGCACATCATTAAACTGAAGACAAAAATAGAAGATCTTTTTGCAATCGCTGACTCCGGGAGTCCAATGTCATCCCTAAACGAAAAAAACCGCCCGGGGGTTACAAGAGAATGACAAAACCGCAATATTGAAACAAATTCCACCGGAAGATACGGATCGGAATTTAGCATGTTACAATGGTGAAACAATTGTTCCAAAGGGAAGACTGATCGTAACAATTGAATCAGGAGTCTGGAAAATAAGAGCTGCTCCATTCATCATTGTAGATAACAAGAAAGCAAAGAAAGCAAAGAAAGCAAAGAAAGCAAAAAATAACATTCCTCCCACAAATTGGAAAAAGGCAAGTACAAGAAAAACCGAAACGAGGGGACGTGCTGAATATACGTGAACAAGAACAATCAAACCCGGAAATCAAACAATGGGTAAAAGATAACTATCCACAACTATGCATTCGTGTTAAAAAGTCAAAAAACCACGTAATGCGGACACAATTCAATAAAGAATTTATTCCGGTACAGCAGAAGGGACGCCGTGTCCCGATTCATCTACAAGAACGAGTAGAAAAAGATCTCAACAAACTCATGGATCAAAAACACATAATAAAACTGGATAATTATTCAGATCGACAATTCATTAGTCCAATCGTGATTACCATAAAAAAGACCAGACGGTGAAATTGGCATTAGACTCGAAAAAGATAAATAAATTTATTCACAAGAATAAATATCAAATGCCTAACTTCGATCTACTATTATACAATATAGCACAGGTGATCAAATCAAACAACAATCAGCAAACTCTATTCTCAACATTAGATTTGCATTCCGCATATTCACAAATCCTGCTGGACAAACCAACTCGGGAACAATGCAACTTCAGTTTGATTGGTGGCAATGCTACAGGAACCTACCAATTTCAAACTGGATTTCACGGCCTCACGGATATGCCGGCTGAATTTCAAAAGGCCATCGATCTCACACTTACAAATTGGTCAAACACCTACGCATATTTAGACGACATATTGATTGTGACCAAGGGGTCGATCGATACAGACAAACAAAAACTACAAACGATTCTGGTGGTAAGATAAGATGGTGAAAATCTCGCCATATCATTGGACAAATGTAAGTTTGCTTGTAAACAAGTTGAGTGGCCAGGGTACACTATAAATAGCGAGGGCACTACACCTTTTATAAAAAAAAAACAGAGGCAACTGAAAAACTCCCTCCTCCAACTAAAAAGCTTCATGGGTTCTATACACCATCTCACCAGGTATATCCCAAATTTAGCACAAACAGCAGCAGCATTGAGGCCACTATTGAAAAACACACTGAAAAATAAACCAATTAATTGGAAACCGGAACATAATACATCATTTGAAAACATTAAAAAACTAGTCTCTGAAATAACACAAAACAAACATTTTGATCAACGTCTAGAGACACGTATCATAACTGATGCTTCTACATCAGGATTAGGGGCGTCGCTTGAACAATATTTACCAGAAGGTTGGGTGGCAATAGCCTATGCATCAAGATTTTTAAATTCCCTCGAGGAAATGTATTCAGTTAATGAGCTCGAATTACTCGGTGTAGTGTGGGCAATTGAACACCACAAATACTATCTGTACGGGAAACATTTCACCGTCATCACAGACCATCAAGCTTTGATCAGCGTTTTAAACGCAAGCGAAAGATCAAAAACCAGTCAGAGTAGATTAACCAGATGGATTGATCGAATATTCCCATTTCACTTCGATATCAAACATTTAGCCGGTAACAAAATGGGGCTAATAGACTATATGTCAAGAGATCCAATTGGATTGGAAATACCACCAAGCGAGTATGATGAAGAATTTGTTGTTGCATCAATTAATACATTCATAAATAACTTCATTCTTAATGAGTTAGCCAATCAGAATCTGGCACCTTGTCAGCTGATCAAAAAGCGCGCGGAACATAAAAGGACAACAATTAACACTTCAAAACGTGAATTGAAAAAGCATTCTTTTAAAAATTCCGCAAGCGGTCAATTGCAAACACAAAAACCAAATCAGTTCTGCTCAAATCACTCAGCAAATCAGACAGCTCTGACGCGAAACATAACCTCGAAACAAAATTCACTCGTTGGAAAATTCAACAAACTTCGTCAAACTCATTCGCAGACAACAGAATATGAACCGAAAACAGGATCTTAGGAAATACGAAGGCGGATTCATTCCGGACGAAGCAAAATCACTAAACCCACGTGGCCGAAAGGAGTAAAAACTGCTTAACGGGCAAGGAACATCGGACAGGGAGGAAAGCCTCTCAGATCCTCGGTGGCACAAACGACCACTAACGAAGAAAAAAGCGACAGCCACCACTTTGGAAATTACACAAAAAGACGTCAAGGACGCCAGGGAATTACTTTCTTCAAGGTCACCAGTCAAAAACTTCCCGACAATAACCTTTACCGAAGAAAAAACAACCAGCCAAACAGCACATCCCCAAAATGAAGACAACACAAGCGGTACAGACGGACAACTTAAAAGTTTGTTGGGAACTCAAACAGACGCTAGTGAGGAACGGCCTGAAATGCAAGAGCAGTTTGTGAGTAGAATAACGCAAGCCAGGAGGAACGTGCCCCGAATGAAGAACCGCCCACTATGACAAGAACACAACCCGAAGCCACACAACTGGAAGCTAGCCACCATGAAATCACAGAAGGAATAGTGGCAACCGTAAACCAAACAACAATGACGGAAACAGAAGAGGACAAACCGCTGTTCCGAAAAAGATTGCAGAAGGTCCTGGGGTTCAAATTCATCGCCGCAGCTACCAAAAAGGACAAGAATCTCAGAACGCTCATCAATTGTGTGAAAAAGCGGAACTGGGACGCGATAAAATCCGCCTACGGACAGTATTGGTTTAATGTCCGCAACAGACTGCATGTGCGGGAGGAATGTCTGTTGATTGACGAACGCATCGTTATGCGAACACAACTGCATCAAACAATACTGGAAAGCCTACACATGACACACCCAGGGTCGGCCGCCATGCTGGATTTATGTCAAAACGTGTGGTTTCCACACATTCACCGATCAATCGTCCAGATGGCGAAAAGTTGCAAACACTGTACAGAGCAAGGTAAAAACCTTAAACCAATAATAGGAAAAAATCATTCATTCCAAATGGATTCGGTCGTAGAACCAAATGAAGAAGTACAATTAGATTTTGCCGGGTTCCTCCCCGATGAATTAAATAAGGACGCTTACATACTCGTTGCTATAGACAAATGGTCAAAATTTCCAACAGCAGAAGTTGTTTCAAATACTACAGCGGATGTCGCTATAAAATTCATGCAACGGTATATTTCAAATAACGGAGTACCCCGTCGATTAAGATGTGATCAAGCACAAATATTTAGAGCAAAAAAAATTCCAACTTTTTAGTAACACAAATAATTTAAATTTACTTTTCGCGCCGGTAGACGATCATCGAGCCATAGGGGTGGTAGAAAAAATGATACAAACATTAAAACGTCGACTGGGGGTTATGAGAATAGATTCAGCAAATAAACCATACAAATTAGCTTCGGACGTTGCCGAGATAATAAAAACTTTGCGCATAACACCACATGGCGTAACAAAAATTTCACCTTTTGAAGCACACTCGGGCAGAAAACCAAATACTCCCCTGTCAAACTTGGCAACAACTAGTTCACCTACCAACCTTAACTGGGAAAATGCAAAACACGCATGTTTAAATCGGAAAAACCTCACAAAGCCACCTCTGCCAGCTGAAATCATGCACGACTTGCAACAAAGGTCGGAGGATGAAGTTTCGATCAACCAATGACAACAACTACAACCGCAATCAATTGGAGCAGACAAGACATTAAAACAAACATCAGGTGCGAAACGCAAACGCAACATATCAATAAATAAAGATAAAATAAACAATAGGTATAAAGGAATACAAACATCCACCGACAAAAACCTTAGCAAACGACTAGAACAAGTAGCATGAAAAACGATCCAAGTGGCAACTAAAGTAAAAGATCCCAAAACTTTCTAACAAAAATATAAAACAATCGACGGGAAACTTACACACCACATACAGCATGGGTAAAAGCATTCGGGAAACAACCTAGACTTTTAAGGAATAGTTAGGTTGCTTTTGTACCTAATCCTTTAATCTACGGACCGTGTCGACCATCACGGTTGAGTGACTACGTAGCTTACAAATCGGCAAGGAGATCAGGACCTTGTCTTCGTTTTTTAGACATCGAGGACCCGACGGCGCCTCAACATAGTATGTTCCGGGAGGATGAACAAACAGGGCTGACAAGAAAAATGACAAGAAAAGAGCAAACAACGCTACAGGAGCAGAGCAACAAACAAGCCAGCCCAACCAAACGGCGGGGCAAGCCAATGGGGAAGAGGACAGGTGGACGTCCGTGCGACAAACCGCGAGGAATGAGTCTATCCTCATTGGAGGAAAGCACGAAAATTCAGACCCCAACCAAGGAAACAACCACCCATAGTGACACGGAGAGCAACAAGTCTTCAAATTCAGAAGCGGCCGAACCATCGCCCAAAAGGTTTAAACACCGCCAGCAGCAACCTCAACTTCAGCGAACATGGCACCATCGAGACGCTCCACTCGCCAATGTCACTCAACCTTGGCAAAAACTTTGGGGACCCCATCCCAATAAATACCATCGAAGAATCAACCACACACAAAAAGACGGTAAAATTCAACATTGATTTTCTCCAGATCAGATATACTCACCGACGAAACCAAGCTTCAAATCGCTCATTCAGGAAATGGGCTTCACGGACAAAACACTCGAGTATTAGGCGTGCATGAATTTTCTGGAGGCGATCAGCCCGAAAAACAAGGCGAAACAAAGGGACAAAGTTATCCACCTCATTTCGTCAGATGAAAGCCCGAACAAAATGGACATTTTATATATTGAAAATAGGAAAAGCAGCAATGAAGCGGACAACACCAAAAACAATGATGCCACACAAGAGGAACGCGAAAAACTAGAAGATGATCACAACAACCAAGAAGTGGAAGAAACGATGAAATAGCGAACAATAGGCAAGAGGGAGAAAATGCACAAACAGTCCTCAAGGGACTATAAAACGCTAAATTGAAACTTTCAAATTTCCTGAGAAGAGGGAGTGTCATCCGGTACGGATCGATAAACTTATCATCGTTGTTATTTATTAATTTGATTAACAGATTTATATATATTGTTTGGTCAGTTGACCTTGATACGGCTCCATGCCGACTTAAGTCCATGAGCAAGTCTCAGTCGATAATTTATGTTTCTGAACAACAGCTGTTTTTATCAAACTCACATAAAGACTACGTTTATCAATCCGTTCGGATTCATTATAATCACGATCATACATTGAGGTATGACAACTACGTTCATTACTCTTAATAAATTAGTTTCCAAATTAATGTTTGGTGGGTTGTGAAGTACAAACAAGCTCAGGAGGTAGTGAAAAGACAATTGTAAGTCAACGTGACGCCTCTGAATGAAAAATTCACTGCTTCTAAACAGCCTTATTTTAAAAAAATACATATTTCAGGGTTATAGGCAAAAAGAACATGGATGTTTTATAGCAGGGGCGGATCTCTAGGATTTTCTCGAGAGGGGGGGGGGCGGATTTTCAGAAAATTTTCCAAAATTTTGACGACCTTTTTTTTTTTTAGGTCGACCAAATTGATTTTTATTTTTCGCGCTCTCCCAAAGCACTGTTTTGCCCCTATTTTGGCTAAATTTTGTGCGCCGCAGGCAAATTTTTGAAAAAACAGTCAAAAAAGCCGTTTTTGGGCACTTTTTGAAAAATTTTGACAAAAAAATCGCGTTTTTTTTTTGGCGCAGGCTCCCCCTCAAAGTTAGTATATATTGGCGCCCAAGGCGCCTTTAGAAAAATTTTAGGGTCGGTCGGCCAAAAATGGATTTCTGAAAAAGTATCAAAGGGGGGACCCTTTGGGTCGGCAGGGGGTCGAATCCCTGAGGGGGAAGGCGTCCGCACCCCCCCCCCCCCTAAATCCGCCCCTGGACCTCTGGGTGGTCAGGTAATCGAATTCCCGGGGGAGGAAGATTTGCTCTCCGCCCTCCCTTAAATCCGCTACTGAGTTCATTGACAATTTTAATTTGTTTGTTGGCTACGCTCCTATGTTTCAGGTCTGGTTGACGTGTGCATAGGCATTTTTTTCAATCAAAACTGTCAATTTCAAGGCAGCGAGAAGTTGGATATAATTCAGCTTCTTTTCTTTTTTTTAGCTTTTGTTATAAACATGATTTATATGACCTTTCAAAAGTGATTCGATCAATAAAAAAATGCGCTCCCCCTCAAAAATAGCATATATTGGCGCCGAAGGCGCCTTTAGAAAAATTTTAGGGTCGGTCGGCCAAAAATGGATTTCGGAAAAAGTATCAAAGGGGGGACCCTTTGGGTCGGCAGGGTGTCAAATCCCTGAATCCGCCCCTGTTTTATTCACCCCCCCCCCCTAAATCCGCCCCTGTTTTATAGCATTAATCGTTATACTTACAGTTATAGTTGGCTGTAGCGCATGTGACACGAATTTGTTCAGATGTTGTGACAGACCCATGGAGTCCAACACGTCTCCTTCACTGCTCGGATGGAGGGACTCCACAATAGCATTTCTGGCCAGCTGTTGCAACGAGGACAGGTGTTTCTCCACCAGTGCTACAAACACACCTGCGCCAGCTGCTATGAACAGACGCTTGTCATTGTGGGCCCACGTCAGTGCTGAGATGAGACGCTGAAACGAAGAATTGCTATGATATGTACAACCGGCCCTTTTCCCGTTCCCCCCGCCCATTACAAAACAAAGTTGTCTTATATCTGTTTATACCGCAATTTTCAAGAAAAAAGCTCTTCAAATTTGTTCTTTTGTTTGCATTGACAATGTTTAGTATGATTTTTTAAAAATCTTTCAAATATTACTGCGGAAAAAAGTCAAAGGGGGACTAGAAAAGAAAAGAAGGGCTGCAACAACAACAACTTCGACAAAACAATCTTTGGTACAGCTCTTTACTTACCGCCACAAATTCTCAAAGTTGAAATTTCTGATAAATTGGATACTCTCTATATATGGGTGTGTTGTGTGTGTTACCTTGGAGGGTACGTTGAGTGTGAATCGGACGATTCCGTTGAGAGAGTAGAACTTGATCTTGGGGCTCTTGTCTGTGCAGCACCATCCCCCCACCGCCAACAGACTCCCACACGCACTCCACTCCATCTTCAGGTCTGAAACAAACATACATTCACACTTTATTAATTGAAAGTGAAGCTACCGCCGGAAAGGTTGAACAACTTTTAGCTTCCCAACCGAATGGTACCTGGTTCGAGCCCCACGATGATCCGTCCTCAATTCCTGCCGGTGAGGCAACATTACCCAGTCCGTAAATATCCAAAATAAAATTATTCAAATATTAACTTTAACAGCTCCGCAAAGAGCTGAACGAGTTCCCCAGTTTTTTTATTCAATCACCTTTTTTCGCCGGCAGGAGTGGTCTCTTTCAATTTCCAGGAATTATTAACGTAACATCGAGTCAAACGTCTCAAATAAGATTTTCAAAAATCATCAGAAACCATACGCTATGCGATTGAGCAAACTTCTATTCTGAACTATGAGTTCGGACACTTCCACACTATTGTAAAGCTATTTGGGGTTTGTCCTAACCAGTCATATGCGTGTCTGTGAGGTTGCCGACCACGTCGTCGTAACTCCTCATGAAGTTGATCTCCCGATTGCCCACTTGCACAGCCATCATGAGGTTCTTGTTGCGACTACTCCTGCTCCGTTTCGAACACTCTAAAACACAAACCCAACTCTTGTACGCGTATATTAACACATACACACTCCAACAGCAGTGAAGTCCATTTAAATAAATGAAAAAGAACTTGGCTGCCGATAAACCAAACATAGCCAATCGAAGATTGGAAAAGCGCAATGAACGCAAGTCAACATAAAAAACACTGACTCTTGAAAAAACTTTCGAATTTCCTAGAAAAAAAACAGATACCCTTTAAGCTCTTTGAATTTCTAGAGTAATTTATGATTGGCGCTTTTTTGATAACATGAACCCAACTTGAGAAAACTGGATCAATGGGTAAAGTTTATATTTCGCTGGGAATTCTTAAATATATCTTAAAACTAGATATCGTTCACCTTTTTTGCACCATTTCCACGTTCGTATTTGGAGAAAGCTATTTAAGTCACTTTCAGCAGATGAATTTCAATTGAACTCAAAAACTGCATTATGCCTAAGTGCATCAATATTTTAAGACTCCACCGTGAAAAAAAAATCAGCAAGAATTACGTTCATTACTCTTAAAAAGCTTCGATTTTAATTTAAACATTTCGATGAAAGCTTTAGTTGTCCACAGAAAATTTCAACGACTGTTGCGAGACATAGACCGCCCCACTTGCAAAATTTTACACAAAAAACGCCAGAATATCCAAATAGATTAAAAATTTACAGCATACAAACACCGAAATACAGCCAAAAGACAGCTGGAAAAGTGCCAATGAATAGAAAGTCTCAACTAACCCAATTTGAGAAAACTTGATCAATAGGTATTTTTTATTCCGCTAGAAAACCTAAAAATTTAGACCACTTTCGAATCAAAAGTATTTCACACTTTTTCGATGTTGTAATTGGAGGGTAAAATTGCTTCCATTTTACAACTGAAATTGAATTGAAGATGAAAAAAATAACGCCAAACCCCGAAAACTAAATTCCAGCGAAAACGAAATTACGGAAATTTCAAAAATGGCACAAAATTCAAAATTTGATAAAATTCAAACACTTTCTATTAACAAATATTTTTATCAGGAACGAAAACATGTGAACAAGATTCGCAATTTAATTGCTTCCAAACAATTTATTAGCCAGAAATTTGATGGAAAATTGATTACACAGAGGCGAAATAGAGCTTTCCACAACTTACGATGCAAAAATCATAAGTCAAAAAATTATCAAAAAATAAAATAAAAAAATTGTTGCAAGAACCTTTTTTGAAATTACATAAGCAAAAAAAATCAGCCTGACTCCAACATACTTTTTACACCTTCCTGCTCTGCATCGAAGTATTCCAAAGAAACGCGATGGAACCATGGGCAAACTGCATTGATGAAAGAACCAAAAACCACTAACTCTGATTTACTTTATAAATTAGTAAGACACAAATACCGAACATTATTCAATTTTTCAGAAGCCTAGACAAACCTGATTTGAAGCACGAAAAAGGTAATCTGAAAAAATAAAAAAGATTCTAGAAAAACACAACACTACTGACAATGTGAAATTTCGCAAAAAAACTTTCGAAAATCAATTCCAATTCTAAGACAGTAAGCTCAACAAAAAATAGATCAAAAACAAATCAAACAAAAAAACAATAACAAGACACTGTTTACGAAAAATCAACTGATTTTGAACAGCTATAAAATCAAAAACGCCGATTTTCATTTCCAAAAAAATTCGGATCAGAAAAGACCAACAAGTCGACTGAAAAAACGGTTTACCAAAAAATCAAACAAAAAAATAACCAAATATTAAAGAAAAACATGCGAAAGTGAACTATTTTTAGAAAGATGTAGCCCGAAAACAGATTTAAATTAACTAAACGCTAGAAAAAACTAATTTTTAATTAGCGAACAACAAAAAGGAACAATGTTCTGTCTACTAGTGTGTCCAACTGAATTCTTTTCGTCTGTTTTTCAGTTTCAGTTAAAGTTACAGTTCTGATTTTCCGGGTCTTTCCATTTCAGTTACAGTTACAGTTTTTACAGTTTTTTTCTTTCAGTTTCAGTTGGAAAAATTGAATCAAACAACATGTTGAATTTGAAAACAAAACTTACAAAGAAACAAAAACTTAACGAGTTCAATCAAAAGTCAAGTCATTCAATCAAGTCACGGTTACTCGCAATCATTGTTCTTTCACGGAGCCCAGTGTTCGACAGCACTCTAAGTCTTCCTTCCGCTTGGATGGCTGCTCCCGAAAAAAGTCTTTCAACTCCGACTCCAGCGCCGCTGAAACACAGGTTCGCAAGCGCAAACTGAGACAACTCAGGAACAGTAGATAGTCTGTCGCGCCAAAACTTGTGAAGGTATTCCGAGTGATGTTTGAGATCAATGTCAAATCCCGGTTTCATGTGTTCGTAAGTAGAGATATTCGCGCAATAGCTCTCAAACTGGGCCGAAAGCTTAACGGCTATTTCTTCGGGTTGCGATGCAGATGGAGGTGGAGTGAACAAACTCGGAAAGTTTTCTTCTTCGTCAGATCTGTCTTCGTAGAAATCAGACCATAGCATCTCGGAGTGTCTTGTGTCATCTTGACTTGGTACTTGTGCTTCTGTTACTTCAACTTCTCTGATCACTTCTGTTTCGATACACACGGTACAATTTCGTTTCCACTCAAGGAAACTCTTGGCGAAGACTTCTTTCAACCTCGAGACTTCACCAGAGAACGGTGGACCAACGAACAAAACTGACAAACTGGGATCCAACAGTGTTGCGAGCTTGAAGTAGTCTTCTTCGTCTAGGTAGGCGAAGCGGCGTTCCAAGTCTTTCGCCATTGCTGCAGACAAACGTGGGAAGTTGACAGTCTTGACCAGTTGACGGCACAGAAAACTTTCCTCCACTGACATACTTGATGATAGCATCAAATCCGTATTTCTTGTCAGCAATCATATTCGCACTTGCTCTTGGGCATGCAGCAACATAAGTCGCTAGCAATTCATTCAGACGTCGCTGGCGGTAGTCGTTTGCTGGGAGCGGAGTAGTTGCTGATCTTGAGCTGCTCCCTGCAATGTTGACGAAGCTCTCCATGGTTGTGACTTTCCGTGATTGAGAGTCTGTTTTCGCCTTCTTTTCTGCTGTTTCTTTGACTTCGAGTTGCTTTTGCCATTCAGGGTGCTTCTTTTTGAGGTGCAGTTTGAGGTTGGTAGGACCATGCTTCACCAGACTTGTGAACTCGCAGTCGTCGTCCGTACATCTGTACGCTGTCTTGCTCTCATCTATAACAAAGTATTGATGCACCGGGTTGCTACGCTTGCGACCAGTTGTTGTTGCTGCCATCTCGATCTGGAAACGTATGAATTGCGTCAAGTATTTATACTAAGCTATCTGCAACTGAAACTGCAACTGTAACTGTAACTGAAACTCTAACTGAAACAAGGACCGGAGTTGGTTTCAGTTACAGTTTCAGTTACAGTTCAAAACATCCGGCTGTTTCAGTTTCAGTTGATCAAAACCATTTCAGTTGTGCAGTAACAGTTTCAGTTACAGTTTTCAATTCAGTTACAGTTGGACACACTACTGTCTACCAATGCTGAACAAAATTATCGAAAGGTATGATATTGAAAATTTCCGATTTGATAGCACCTCAAGCTTGCTTAGTTCCCATTTTAACCATCCTAACACAATGAAACTAAGCAGAACTAGAGGAACAAAATTAGCAGACAGCAACTCAAATCGACCTTTACATTAAAACACGTGCGAATTCTGTGGACAAAGTTGTTTACGGGAAAAAAAGTCTAGTACCCGGTTGCAATACCCTTGCTTATCGCAAGGGTAAAAAGATACTAATTAGTAACACGAGCTTATGCTTTTGATGAAAAAATTTTCAAGTTTTTGTTTTCAAATTATGATGCCAACCAACAATGATGTTCACAAAAAAAGTTCTCTCGAAAATTTTTTTGCAATGCAATCAGATGAAAAGATTTAATGCCATTAGAGAAATTTCTCTGTTATTGCACTTAGGAGTTATGCTATTTGAGACGTAATCCTTATTTAAAAGATACTTGCTACGAAAAGGTACAAAATCTGCACTTCGTTAATTGCCACTTGAACGATTATTGGTCCTCTAAGTGTAACCAACATTTAGAGGAGCAAAAAAAAAGAAAACTGAATAATTCAAGAGATCTTCGCTAAGTTTCAGAAGATCATTTAGTACAAAGTCGAGTTAGTTGAAAAAATGATGTCGACATACCACTGTAGTTAGATGTATTCCGACTGCTACCACTGCTGCTGCTGCTTGTGGCTGACGTTCCTGGAGTTGTTGTTGCTGTCGTTATCGGAGCACTTGATCCTGCTGCCGAAGACGTCGTCGGTGCCCCAGCACCAGAAGTACTCACAATAGCCGGAGTACCACTCGCAGAAGCAGTGGTTGTTGTATTAGTCGCCGACGATGCAGCTCCTCCTGAAGTAACAGCCGGTGCTGTTGTCGTCGCCGTCGTGGCAGCCGTACTAGAGGAGACTCGGTTCTCTCCGTCGATAGTCTCGGTGACAAATGACATTCGGAATTTCTCACAGTTGTAGCACATGTATTGGATAGGTTTTGTACGGTCACTCAGCCCGACTTGTGACAAAACAGCTCCATGGATGTCCATCGCGACTATTTGGCCACTGTTTGTTCCGAAGAGCACCTAAAACCCAAACGTTTTATTCTAGGGGGCTTCCTCTAAATGAATACAAAAAGCAACTTAGGATGGTATAACAGGGCTGAGAGTGCAATAGGGGTTCTATGTCACTGATTTATTTCCATCCGACAATCAAAGTAAGCTTAAAAAATCGAAGAGAAACGGTCAAATGTTAATGATTCCAAGCAAACCATATTTTGAACCAACATTTAACCCATTTTTTAAATATACCCTCGTTAATCTGAAAAAAAATCCACTTTTAAAACTGAAGAGCAATCACGTTTTTCACCGTTTATTTATCGGAGAGCTAAGATTGCCTTCCATTTGGCAAACAAATTTGGAGTGAACTAGAAAAAGATATCAAAAGTCACAGCATAAAAAAAACTAGCGCGAACAACTTTCTAACTTCTTCCTTAAAACAGGAAAATGAGTTTTCAGTTCGTTCATAGTCATTCGAATGATAACAAATAGTTTTTTGGGATTAAATGATACATAGCCAACATACAAATGGAAACGAGTGAATGAACGCAAGTTAATACAAATGACTTGTTTTTTGAAGAACCTAAACTTTTGATATTCAAATAAGAAATAGATGGCTTTAATAGCTCTTCGAATTTCTACACAGGCAAAGCTGAGCTTCGCATCACTTTCGATGCCAAAATGAGTGACTATGATTACAAGCAAATGAAAGACAATCTACAAATTGAAATAAAAACTATCAGAAAATCTCGTTTTTTTGCCAAAAAAGTTAAGCAAATTGCAAAAAAGGACAAAAAATCCTGGAACAAAACAAGCAGCCGACAAAAATGAGCAGACATGAAAGTCTTAAAAGGTTGAAAATTTTCATTTTCCCAAAATAACAATTCCCGACTAAAATCGAACCTATGAGATTTGTCATCTCAAGCATGGGTGTTACCACTGCACCAAATGCATAGAACATTCCTTGAATTTATAAAGAAAACAACTTCCAAGAATTTCAAAATAAACAACATGAAAAAAATCAAAATAGCCAAAAAAATATCGGCAAAACTTCTTTGAACTCAATTACTTCCCAAAACCGAAATACACTAAAATCATTTTCAATTTAGGTAAAAACTGCCTAAACACATTTGGTACTTTGGCAACTAGGGCGACAAAGAACAAGCAGACAAACAGAAGTCCGATAAACAATTTGGCGCGCCGACAACTTTCTGTTGGGAAAAAAAACAGGTCCTGGCCGGATTCGAACCATTGACTTTTGCCTATATAGGCAAGGCGTTAGCTCTTCGCCACATGCGTGAAATAACGTCTGACTATTGATTTCATATCAACCAAAGGTAAAATGATTCAAGTTATTCTGTTGAACTAGTAAATAACCCGGAAAAGAGTATATATTCCGATTTGATAACGCTTGCTAATCGCAAGCGTAAAGACACTTATGATTAACATTTTTTGTTTAAATGAACCCAAGTTGACAATACTGGAACAATGGACAACTTTTTATTTGACTGAGAAATCTGAAAACTTAATTCCATTTTCGAAACTAGAAGTCGAGACTTTTGCTGTTCGATAGCGTAATTTGTCTTCTTTTAAATTTGAGCGTGAAAACTTTCTAAGACATTTTCCTGAAAAAAATCACCACGACTTTCATAAGAACCTTCACTGCGTTCATCGACTCTTAAAACATAGCCAACTGACAGTTGGAAAAGAGTAATGACGCAAGGTAACTGAAAAAAAAACTGACTTGTTTATCCAAATCAACTTTTGAATTTCGAAGAAAAAATATAAGGCACTAAAGCTTTTTGAATTTGTAGAACAAAATATGACGGACACTTTTTTGCTAAAATTAAAATTTGTGAAAGTAATTATCAATACGTTCATTACTCTTAAACAAATTAAGCAATTACAACAGAGTAGTGAGATTTAAACCGAAGCACAAATGAAAGAAAAATTACGCGTTTGAGAAAAGTCAATTTACCAAACTATAAAATTGAACGTGAAGAAAACCCGAAACTTCTTACTGAAAAAAAATCTCATTAAAAAAACAAGTACTTTTTCGATTTGAAGCTTAATATTCATTTGATCCCCTCTTCTATATGATACTAAAATTCGGTCTTATTTTACCCATGGCCTACTGAACAATTTCTTCTCAGAAGCTTCTGCAAGCCAGAAAAAAGTTTTGAGGCCTCTTTATATTGCGATTTTTTTGTTTCTGTATAGCATTTACCAGAGTCGCAATAATTCCGAGAAACTGGCAATTAAGGAGAGGACTCTTTAAACTGCACGTTTCACGCGTTCAGAAATTAAATTTTTCTACATTTACCTTATTTTTATCTTAAACCAGTCACCTTGAAACATTGCAAGTAGAGTCGCTGTCTTTCAGCACCATTGAAAATCATTATCGCATTCAATCTACCTTTACAAGGAAGCATGGTTGCTGCATCTTTTTTTGGTTTTGATCTATCAGAAAGTCGGGTCGGTTCATTTAGTTTCAGATGCGGTTCGAATTAGATATAAAATGCTAATTAGGCCACCTCACAGAAGACATTAAAAAAACGCATTCGTTTAGATTAAATCAAGTATCCACAACAAACCTCGTTAAGTTTCCGCTTTAGGAAATTTTGGTTTCAATTTTAGCAACTGTCAAATATTTATAGCAATCTCAAGGGGAAATGAAGTCGATTAAATAACACATGACATTTAAGAGCGGATATAAATTTACATGTAAAAAAAACCTCTCGTACCAGAATGGAACCAAAAAAATGGGAGGTAGAAAATTAAGTTCTTAAAAGCGGATGCATTAAAAATTCAGCTTTGAAGTTTAAATTAGAATATATTACGTGGTTGTTGTACACGCATAAATTTTAACAAATTAGATTAGGAATTACGTTTAGCTGTCTCCGGAATCTATTTATAAAGTTTATAATCAATAATGTCAAACGTGTCTTATCACTCAAGTGACCCTCCGTCCGCCCAAAGCATGAAAACATTTGATTTTTCCGGAGGCTCATCTAACTTCATTTTAGTACCAACAGTCAACTTAGTAGAATTCTCCAAACAGCGTTTCGCTTTTATCAAAGACCATCGCATGAGTAGTTTCACGTATAAATAATTGATGAAACGCACAGATTTGGTGTAAATTCGGACTAGCGGCGCCTTTAAAGTCTTAAGTTCAGTCAATCTTGAGTTGAATTGAGGTTACAAATCTAAGCCTTCTGATTATAATCCGCGCATGATTTCAATCATGCATGACACCCAACGCCTAGAATGAACTCATTTCAATTCCGTTACTTTCAAACGAATGAGTCTACAAATGACCTATAAAGTAGACCATAAACCCCGATGCCATTCTGTTGGTAATTGACGCATTTTGTGTCCTTGTTTTCATTTCAAAGCTACACTTTAGCTAAACTGTTACTGCGGACAATATGCATGCCAAATAATGACACAAATCAAGCGCCAAAACTTGAAACAGAGGGGATTTGATCTGCACTTCAAGAGCAATAAATCTATCGACAAACTTAAATTAAATTATTAACCGATAATAATAATGAAGTGAACTCTTTGGGAACTGTAGTAGTTTCGAAATAATTAAGATAGCTCTTCAAATAAGAACCAAATGTTGCTACTTTTCGATTCATTTCTTTCAGAAGTTTCTTTTGCTTCTTCCAATCAAATGTTTTGGCTAATTTGACACTCTTAAAAGATTAGTTCAAATGAACAGCACGACAGCTTAGCCTAACTAGGAGCAGGAAAGGGTAGAATAAACAAGAATTAGACTGACTGTTTTATCGTCCGCAGTCCAAGCCCCGCAAGTTATACTGGAACCGTGCGGTTGTAGGTTCAACTGGCTGCTCCAGTATCTCTGGCCTTGAACACTTCCTACCAGCACGAAGCCATCTTTATACGCTATCAATGCCATCCGACCATCATGACTCCATGCAAAGTCCGTCACCTAAGCAGAACAGTCCAAATATGGCAAAAAAACTCGACAGACAAATGAAGAAGAGTTACTGCGTTTTCACTATTGTACTGGAGATTAAATTTTTCAGCTACCCCCACCCCAAATTCCTATTTTACGAACGTTATTAAGTTAATATTGCAATGAAAATTTGCATGGTGAATAAATTAACTAAACTGAACACACTTGTTATTCATAACGAACAAAAATAATCACGACAAAATAGCATGTAAAATAAGAGGAGCAAGAATTTACTATTCTTAACATGAATTGACAAGCAAAAATCAAAAATAAAAAAAAACAGCAGAAACATTTGCCAGAAAAGTTTAAAAGCTTTTAATATAAGGCAAAAACCTAATGACCACAATTAATGACCAACTTCAAAGTACTTAAAGCAAATGTTTTTAAACATTGTCACTCTTATATCAAAATACATGCTAAATATACGGAATTAGACAAAACCAATTCACTCGGTTACCTTGTAGAACACGGGTCTAGACTTTGTGTCTACATTTAAGTGACAATATGAGTGAGTAAGAACGTGGGAACCCCTCAAGCCCGCATACCCGAAAATTAGGTTAGCCAATCCGAATGCAGTATTCAAAAAAATGGCGTATAATCAGTCAGCTTAGGACAGTTTAAAGGGGGCTGATTGATTTCGGCGCACCGGTTTTTGCGCATTAAAATTAGTCAGTTTAGGACAGTTTTAAAGAGGGTTCATTGGTTTTCGTGCATTGGTTTTATGCATTTTTTAGTTCAGTTTATGAAGTAAAACAGTTATAACCCATTTCAAAAAAAATTCTCGCCAGAGGAACAGAAACGTTGTAGAAAGTGCGAAACAAAACATAGCCAACAAACAGTTCGAAAAATGACAATGAACTGTAAAAAGACTGATTTTTTGACACTGTTGCAGCTTTTGAATGTCAAATATAAAATATAGCCACCGACAAAAAAAAACTAGAAAACTTTTGAAATTCTAAGAAAAATCTATGAAAACACCGAAATCAACGCAACCGTAAGAATAGACGGATGAATCCAACAACCCTTTTGATTTCAAACATTTATTGATGAAAAAAATTTCAACTTAAAGGTTTTTAAACTAAAATTGGGTATCAGATTTTTGTAATTTTAGCTCATAAACGAAACCCTAAACAGGCCGACAGAATATAACTGCACATTCCATATTAAAAAAAACTTTTGATACGATTTCATTTGAAAAATCATCAAATTCATAAATGGTATTCAAAAACCATCATTTTTTACTTTAAAATAAAAGACTTCACTTAATTGTTGAATGGCAATCGTTGAAATATAAAAAATTTCAATTTTAAAAACTTAAAAATTTGATCAAAATACTAGGATGGGAGACCACATATATGTCCGCTGGTTGTAACCTGACATCACCGCATCAAAGGGAAGATGACTTCAAAATTTGACACAAAAACAAAGCGGAGCTTCGCAAAACTTGCTATACAGTTAGAACATTGCATTAAAAAATGTTGAACAGAAAAAATACTTTTTTTGAAATATTAAGCTGAAAAAATTATTTGAAAAAAGCCGAGAAAATTACACTACAAAAATTTATAGCTTTGTCTCGGGTGATTCTCATAAACAGCCTTAACAAGTATTGAGAATTAACGATCGAGTGGTAAATATGACGAAAAAAACTTGGGTCAACTCTCATTAAGCCGAAAACGTAACTGTAGTCATAAAAAATTCAAGCTACAAAATTTTTTAAATCAAAATTTTTGATACCGACCCTCCTGAAACAAGCAAAAAAGATCTGAAATTTCGCCCAAGGAACTACGCAACATGAGTTAACAAACCCGATATAACATAAGTCAAACTCGTTTAACAAAAAGTTGAATAACGCAACCTTCATTGAACACAAAATTGCAGATGTGGGAGGGAAGTTTTTGAGAAAAATCGAGCTTCGAAAAACGGTCAAAAATACGAAATTTGTTATTTTCCGAGGGCCGTAACTTCTTGTGGAAAAAGGGCGTAGCCGCTCTAGCAGAGGAGCCTACCACAACCTGTTCTATCACTTGAACACCAAATCTCAGATTTGGTTGGAAGCGTAGTGTTCGAGAAAATGAAATAAAATCCAAATATATGGGTGAAAATTCCCCCTACATACCTTTTCGACGGCTGTAGAAAATGCGGTACGTTAAAAAGAGACTAGGCGTATATACTGTCACACAGGAGAAGAAGCAGTTTTTCCATTGGATCAAACTAATTGAAACCTAAATTTTTAGAAACTACTTGATAAGGACACCAGATATTATAAAAGAAAAAAAAGTTTACGGTGAAAAAAAGTCTTATTCCCGATTACAAGTCACTCGCTCTTGCAAATTATAAAAAAAGGTTTTTGAAACTTAATTCTTTTAAAAAATTTTGAAAAGATAAAAACATCTTATCTAAGAAAGTACATTCTGAGAGTACCTTGAGAGCACCCCACCATAGTGTTGATTAATTCAAACTTTTTGAAAGTTTTTTTGAGACCTAAGATTTTTGAAAAAACAATAAAATCGATTTATTTCAGAAACTAAGGTGATTTGAGCACTCAAACTGGGAGGCAAGTTTTGTAACCTCTGAAAGCACCCCATTATAGGGTTGGGAATTTCAATTTTTTTTTTCAATTCAAGTTTTTTTTGAAAATTATTGAAAAAATGTCATACCTCGTTAACTTTAAGCAATAACACTTTGAGATAAGATTTGAAACCACTATGACGACGTTGGCAGCACCCAGCTATTGATTTGTGAAAATCCAGTTAGTTAAAATTTAATGTTTTAAAAACTTTTGAACGTCAAATCTGTTTCGAACATAAAAAAATCATAAAAAACGTCATATCCCGGAAACACAAAGGGATTGAGCGGTCATATTTAGAGGCAAGTTACAATCCTTGTTAGAACAATGAAAGCCCTCAACTAGTGTCATGAAAGCCCACAACTACAGGGCTGAGAAATTTAAATTTTGAGAAATCTTTTAAATCTATATTTTCTGAAAATTTTGAAAAAATTCACAAAATTCGTCACGTCTCAATTAATTAAAAGGATTAGAGAAGTCATATTTAGAGGCAAGATTTGCAACCTCTGAGAGTACATAAACACCACCCAACTCTAACGTTAAAAATTTAAAAGTTCGAAATTTTTTAGATCTAAGTTTTCTAAACATTTTTGTAAAAAATCACAAGAATCCTCGTTTCTCGTGAACTTAAAAAAATCGGGTTTTCATATTAGGAGGCCTAATTCGCACCCCTTGGGGAACACAGACAGTATCCAACTATTGGGTTGCTAGTTTCAAACTTGGCGAATTGATGACTCAATTCCTACTGGAAAATTGAAAAAATTTCTGAAGCACGCAATATACGATACAGATTAGACGTGAAAAACATCTTTCATTGAACATGAAAAAATATTACATTTAATAAGCTTACGCTTGTCGAGACAGTGAAGTCCCCGATTAAATATATAATAGGTTTATACTTGACACTTTTTGATAAAATAAACCCAACTTGAGAAAACTGGATCAGTGAAAGCTGGACCATGAAAGCCCTCAACTAGTGCCATGAAAGCCCACAGCTACAGGGCTGAGAAATTCAAATTTTGAGAAATCTTTTAAATCAAATTTTTCTTAACATTTTGTACAAAATCACAAGAACCCTCGTTTCTCGTGAACTTAAAAAAATCGGGTTTTCATATTAGGAGGCCTAATTCGCACCCCTTGGGGAACACAGACAGTATCCAACTATTGGGTTGCTAGTTTCAAACTTGGCGAACTGATGACTCAATTCCTGCTGGAAAATCGAAAAAATTTCTCAAGCACGCAATATACGATACAGATTAGACGTGAAAAACATCTTTCATTGAACATGAAAAAATAATACATTTAATAAGCTTACGCTTGTCGAGACAGTGAAGTCCCCGATTAAATATATAATAGGTTTATGCTTGACACTTTTTGATAAAATAAACCCAACTTGAGAAAACTGGATCAGTGAAAGCTGAACCATGAAAGCCCTCAACTAGTGCCATGAAAGCCCACAGCTACAGGGCTGAGAAATTCAAATTTTGAGAAATCTTTTAAATCTAATTTTTCTTAACATTTTTGTAAAAAATCACAAGAATCCTCGTTTCTCGTGAACTTAAAAAAATCGGGTTTTCATATTAGGAGGCCTAATTCGCACCCCTTGGGGAACACAGACAGTATCCAACTATTGGGTTGCTAGTTTCAAACTTGGCGAACTGATGACTCAATTCCTGCTGGAAAATCGAAAAAATTTCTCAAGCACGCAATATACGATACAGATTAGACGTGAAAAACATCTTTCATTGAACATGAAAAAATAATACATTTAATAAGCTTACGCTTGTCGAGACAGTGAAGTCCCCGATTAAATATATAATAGGTTTATGCTTGACACTTTTTGATAAAATAAACCCAACTTGAGAAAACTGGATCAGTGAAAGCTGGACCATGAAAGCCCTCAACTAGTGCCATGAAAGCCCACAGCTACAGGGCTGAGAAATTCAAATTTTGAGAAATCTTTTAAATCTAATTTTTCTTAACATTTTTGTAAAAAATCACAAGAATCCTCGTTTCTCGTGAACTTAAAAAAATCGGGTTTTCATATTAGGAGGCCTAATTCGCACCCCTTGGGGAACACAGACAGTATCCAACTATTGGGTTGCTAGTTTCAAACTTGGCGAACTGATGACTCAATTCCTGCTGGAAAATCGAAAAAATTTCTCAAGCACGCAATATACGATACAGATTAGACGTGAAAAACATCTTTCATTGAACATGAAAAAATAATACATTTAATAAGCTTACGCTTGTCGAGACAGTGAAGTCCCCGATTAAATATATAATAGGTTTATGCTTGACACTTTTCGATAAAATATACCCAACTTGAGAAAACTGGATCAGTAGGACATTTTTTTTTATTCCTCTGGGAAATCAAAAAACTGGAATCATCTGTTCGATAGTGGACCTTGCCTTCTTTTCAACAAAGGAAATAAACTGAACCTGAAGAGAAATCAGCGCAAAAATGTGATCAAATTTTCGATTTTTTTGTGAAAAAAAAAACTATCACGACCTATATAAGTGTCTTCACTACGTTCATAGACAATTAAACAAATTATCAACTTAGGGCTCATTCGATTTAAAAAATCATAATAATCGCCACTATTTTGATAAAAAGAACTCCAAATTGAAAAAATTGTATCAATGGTCATATTTTGATTCCGCTTCAAAGATGTACTCTAGAATGAAAAGTCAAACGAAGAAAACATAATGAAAAAAAAAAGATTTTTGGCCCAATTTACAATTTTGTTATAAGAGAACGTTATTTTCCGTCCATTTCGGGAAACTCAAAGTCACTTCCAAATACACAGGCGAAGCCGAGCTTCTTATTACTTGTAGTACGAAAAAAATTAATAATTATATTTTAACAAAATCCTTTCCAAATACAGGCAATTCCAACAAACAAAGATGGCCGGTTTCTGAAAGTTTGTTCTTGTGCTTATTTCAATAAGCCATTTTTATGCAGGTTGTGATTGAAGTAACCGAACGCGTAGACAGTTAGTGAATTAGGTATAACCGACAATGTTGTCTTCGAAAAATCACTAACCAACAGAAATGAAAAAAACTTCAAGGAAAATACAATTTTTTAATTTTTTTTGTCGAATATTTCTAAAAGCTTTTTAATGCCATGGAAGCGTTTAATGAAGCTTCCAAAAGAAGATTTCCAAATAATTTTTGCACTACTTAAAGAAAAAATTTTCTTTCATTAAGACCTTTTCTATTGCTTTACTTGCTCGAATTTAGACTAAAAACCAAAAATTTTAAACTTGTTTTTCTCACTACTGAAAATGTTTAATGTCATTCAAATCACGACTGAATGGTCATTACAATGATGTACTACTCCTGTGGTACCTGATTTTGCGTGGAAAAAAAATTGAAACACACTCCAAGACAGAGTTCCAATTTGTGTAACACACTTTTTTAGAAAAAATTTTCTCAAAGGGAATTTTTACGATTAGACGGTTGTATGAAGCAAATCGCTTTTTTCGGTTCATTTGATGTATGGCATTTTATAAGCCCGCGGGTAAACGCCAAGCTCCTGAATTTAGCTTGTTTTGATGGATTACAAAATATCACCTGTAATACCTTATTATTAATCAGTTTCAAAGCATATGATATTAAATATTGCCAATACTGCCGGCTGCAAACTTTCAACATTTCAATTGTTGCGGCCCTCTCTCGAGCCGTTCGGCCAAAGACCATTCTATTTTTTTTTCGAAGTCTCAAAATTGAACAGATTTGAGCAGAAGACTTAGTGCTTAAAAATCCGACAATTTTTTCCATGCTTTCAGACAACTTGAAGCACCTATACACGACCCGCTGAGCCATGGATATATCATGATGTCTTTAAATCAAACTACCAAAAAACGAACAAATTGGTCCCAAAATTCGTTCTCTTTATTTTCTCCTAAATTGCGTTCTCTCAAAAGTGCTTATCGTAAATTGCTAATCGTGAGTTCAATTGAACAATTGCAAACTTAATTTTGAATGGAAAACCATGATGGCACCAGGAAGCAATGCCCTACGCAAATAAAACAATCAGGCTAATTCCAAGCTAACCTGATGCTGTCTGTCATTCACAAGTTCAATCGACCATCTTGATTCGAATCTGATCCAAACAAAAATTACTCCATTCGCATCACAAGTAGCCATTTTCTGGAATGGTTCGTTCCATCGAACCAGGACGACCTACAAAATTGGCGAAATTAATTTCAGATGCCTCAAAACTAGCTACGTTCAGATTATAGTCTGTGTAGTTGTACCTCTGCATTGTGTCCTCTTAAGTTGAAGTTTGTCCGAAGTGGGTAGTTGTACTCCTTAAGTGTGTGAATAGAAGAAAAGGTGACACCAACAACACATTTTCTTGTTCCAACTGCCAGCCATCCAGTCACACAGCTCCGTTTACTATAAAATCAAACATTTGTCAGAAACACCGAACAATATTTCACATAAAGCATCATTTAACATACCGAATATATTGCTTTTCTTTTTCACTCTGAGGTAGACTTCCTTTCCACGACAATGACAGGATATCTGAGTCCGAATGAGCTATCGGATGACTTTCCAGCCACGCATACATGAAACCCTTAAAATTTTTAATTGAAAATGAAAGCAACTAACAGCAGATGAGCAAAACCTGACGACAAAACTTTATCATTGGAAGGTGCACAATAAAGTACACTATCAGACACAGACAACTGAATATTTAAAAGACTCAAATCTCTAACCGACTGATTTCACATTCGATTTCATTGCAATTGTTGAACCTCCGGTGCTTCACACAATTGCTGAACGTGAAACTTGCATAGTTAAATAGAAAAATAAACGGAATTTGATGCAACGCTAAGATCAGACGGTGGCATCCAACAACACTTACTGCTTCATAAACTGAACACTTTAAACATCATTTCATCTATTGGGTTTTTTAAACTAAAAAAGCCATATCTCCAAAATTACTGATCTTCGCATCTGCAACTAAGAATTGGGATAAAAATAATCAGAAAGTCATAGTATGAAAGTAACTGAGGTTACAGTCAGGAGTCCTTTCATCACATATTCTTGTCAAAATCCAAGGATTTTTCTAGATATTGAAGAGAGTATAAAGTGGAAAGAACTAAAGAGTCAGATGGTTGAGAAACCAGCCAACCAGTTTGATAAAAACTAACACCTGCAGAAAAAACCGGAGTTGAAATAAACTCAAAAAGATTGAACTGATATGAGGCTACGGGTCTATCAGAGACTTATACTAAGCTGCGCTTCTGTTACCTTGGCTTTTAAATAATTTCTTCGAAAGTAGTTTTTATCATGATGATAAAAAGTTTCGAGTATAGAGGCAGCTTTCGCAACCCCTGTCCCCTGCATAGCGATGGAGGTTCTCTGCTTGAGAAAAATACAAAAATTTCAGTACTAGGGCCGGCGGAACCCTGAACTTCAAAAGCTAATCTTTGGAACATATATCCATCATAAAACCTCTGATAGTGTCAATTTTGGTGGCCTATCCGGGGTTAAAAACCAGCCTGCGCTTAGTCTCTTAAGAGATAGGGAGTCAGTTACCATTGCATCTCATATGAGCTACCCACCAACGGCCCATGTGACGAGCGTCAAAACGCATAGTCGCTTGTGATCTGCCTTGAGGTGTGGTGCCTCTTAAACAGAAAAAATGTGAGTGGAGGCGAAACGTTTAATTATAAGAGCGTTCAAATCTGAATTCCCAGAAACTCCTTACATTTTCAGACAACACTGACGAGGCCACCACCCATTTTTGATCATCTTTTGCGCAAACGCATCTGTTTTTCACAACTTTGGAAACTAGGCGGAGTCAAAGCGCGGTTCTAAGTTGCTGATTTGACAATTTCCATCTTAGATTTTCACACCGTTTGACAATCAACCATTGCGACTCGAACTCATTCTTGTAAATTTTAAAACTTTTGATACCAGTCGGATCTAGTTTCAAAAACATGAGAAAAGTTTCGTAATCAAAAATTGACATACTGCATGTTTTTTTGGATTTCGTTTTAAGGAGCTACTTAACATTTTGCTGAATCAAACCAAATTTTTAATGTATTGGTAAATGTCCCATCTCGGGCTCCGAATCGAATGTTTCGCTTAGGGTAGCTTACGCTCTTACTGCGGAGCTATAAAAAGGGTGAAGGTAGTATGCGAGAGGGAAAAAACTCAAGCCGCTTCTGATCGCCGGGAGAACAGCTTGAGAACAATGGCATTCAATCATATTTAAATTTGTCCTCTACGCAAGAACTCCTTAAGATTCGATCATTTTTTAACAAAAAAAAATCATATGAAAAAAACAAGGGCTTGTACGAATAAAAGGAACTTCGGCATGAGCAAGCAATTTGAAAGTTATCAACCACAACATGCATCCAGTTTATCAATATTAATCAAACTTTTTTCCAGCTTAGCTTTTTTCACTTAGCAAACCCGTGCGACAAAATTTGTCTAAATGGGGAGCTTAAGATTACAAGTTCGTTCTTCGATAAGATTTAGATTTTTGCGCATTTTTTGTACTGCGTACTTTTTGTACTGCGAACTTTGTACTGGAATTGTATTGTACTGCGTATTTGTGGTCTGTTTAGAAAGCATAGCTCAAACTTTGTTTTTCCTTGTGTTAAGACTGAAGAACATTTTCTCCAATACCAGTTTGTTTTCTCGAAACATTCTCTTTTGTTCGTCGGTTAGACGAACAAACGTCGGTTAAACACCAGACGTTTGTTTGGGAGTCACGTTTTTTTTTTACAAGCGTCTGTATTGTTTCAGCACATAGCGGTTGAGCCTCGGGGTGACCTTGTTATGCTGCTGCTTCTTAGGTTAACTCGGTTTACTGTAGGCGCAATGAGTATAACTGTTCAGCTCCGGGTTGTTCGAAAAAAAAAATCATGCAGTATAGTTTCTCTATTAAAAAATTAAATTTCTTAGAAAAAAAAAAAATAATAATAAAACTAAGCATTTCGGGTTGTCATCATGCTCTATCAATTCTCTAAAGGAATTTGGAGCAATTTCAGCTCTTGAATACGAACACCTCCGTGAAAACTCCCAAGTAATTTTGTCGCACTGCAAGCCTTGCTTCCCGCGCATTAAAACGGGATGTTTCTGAGCTTATTGCTGATGGCATCGGCTGCAAACCTCTATCTATTTGCAATCAATTGCCCACAACTTCAATCGGATTTGATTTTTAAACCACAAATCATAATAATTGAAAATAAATCCTCAAGTTTTCAGCAATATCAGGTTTTGAAATTTCGAATACTTTTCTCATGATACAAGATTAAGAAAAAAAGAACGTGCCAATCAAAAAGTTTTGAACCATCAAGTTTTAAACCATCAGATTAAAACAATTGTATTTGCAAAAATTATTATGAAAAGGTATTTCCTACCAATTTCAGAGTGTTCTTGGTTTTTCTTCTTTTGCCTTAATAGTTTTTCGTTTCAGGGTTATTCGCTTTTTAAAGTGATATGTCAGTTCTTTGAAACTATTTCAGCAATGATTACACATCAACTACAGTCTTAGAGTAAGTTCCCTGCTCCTGCATTCTGTGCGCCTTTTGAAACTTGGCGTTTCCATGCAACTTTGCAAAGCCTCTACTGTGAGTTTTTTTAAATAGATTCTATCTGTTTGTTCAAAAATATCTGATTTCCACTCAGCAACTCTATCAATTTTTCACTTTGGTTCCATATGCTGACCAACTCATAAGGAGGTTTGTTTTTGCTGACATATGGTTGCATATGCTGACCAACTATGAAAAAAAAACCGGATTCTTTTATGAAATCTGCCCAACAACTGAACAACTGATGAGGTGATACTGAACAAAAATATAACAAAAGTTTACTCGCCATCAACAAAAAACGAGATAGGAGATCTTTTGTATTCTGTAATGAGTCAACAATTGAACAACCCGCCCGATTGTACGGTTTGGCTAAGTTAATTAAGGATGAGACACCCCTATGACTAGTTCTATCTTTTGCGGGCAGCTAGCATAAAAAATTTGATAAAATCTTGGATGAATTTTTGAAAGAAAGCAATTGAAACTGCTTCATAGAAGCTGTACAACCAGAAATCTACTACTGAAATTGAAAAATCCACAATGGAATAAATTTAGAATATGACGGCTTGCAACGTATATTTTAAGTGTGATGGTTGATGGTATGTTCAAAAAGATGTGTTTGCAATGGGCGCTACCCTCTGGTTACTTCTTGCTACTCTAAGGATGAAAGAGTATGGTTTCATTTTGAAACAGGTATAACAGGCGGGTTGGCGCTACAGCTACCGGATGAAAAGAAGGGTTTTTGCCTATCTTGCAGCAGGAAAGTAACCAATAGATCGAAGGGATTGAAAGTGAGGAATACTGAAACTTGTATCATCATGAATATGGAAAACACGCGATGATATATACGCATCAGTAACCGAGATAATCTGGAATTATGAAATTTGAAGCCACGCTAAGATCAATGGGAAAAAATTCTACAGACAAAAAGATCCTCAGGTATGTGGATTGCGTCGTTAGAGTAGTCAGAGTTGTCAAATCAGGGATTTATTGCAGCCAATTTTTTTTCAATCAAATCTACAATTCACTCAAGAAAAAACTAATTGAGACAAAGTTTTGCTGTTGCTGGATTTGATCATAAATTTATAGCAAGACAAGAGAGTAACCTGCAATTGGTATCAAAACCTCACAGATATGGGACTTTTTTGAATTACAGGAGCTGCCCCCAATTCAGTACAAGCATAGTTTTATCCAAGGCACTTCATAGAGTGTGTAGGATTAGATATAGCTGGGAGACATCTGATAAAGCTATTGAAACTACAAGTCAGGCACAATGGATCCGAACCCTGAAAATAGATCTGCAAAAATGGCAGCAGACGCCCTGTGTTAAATGATTGAGGGTAAGGTAAAATAGCTGGACAGGGGAAGGATTTCTTCAACTCATTCTCCAAAGGATGGAAAGCCCCATATGCGGATGGTTCAACATAAAGGTAACTAATGCCAATTTTTTGCAATCAGATTAAGAAGTTTAACCAACAATCAAACAGATTTTGCCTAAAAAACTACAATATTTTGTACGATTGCTAAAATCCGCATTTTCTAAAAACCTAAAAGCAAGAGTGGTATATAAATTGTCTTGTATTGGTTGTACCACCATCCACATTGGACAAAATGTCGATATTTGACCACGAAATTGAGATGTAAGAAAGCAGACTCACCGTTAAGCCTCGACCTTTAGCAATGCAAACTTCAGAAAAATAGCGCAGATGTTAGTTAGTTTGCAAAAGAAAATTGATCGAACAACACAACTAATAAACCCAACTAAATTGTTATGACTTGGATCAATACTTATCAAGAGAAAAATGATGATTAAGAACCAAAAATTACGTGAAAGAATGTAAATCGCTTTTGTATTTTCTCGTCATTTGGACCAGTTTTTCGTAGAATCCTGACGATGCACACTTTTGTGAAAACATTTGAGATTTAATTTTAATCAAAAATTCTTCAATATCTTTTACGATGTTCGTCAATCTATATGCCTAAGCATAGCAAACTATTAAAAGTCATAATTTAATTAGCCCGTAT